GGAACTGTAAGATGTCGCACCCTTGGGGCGGGGGGGGGGGGGGGGGGGGGGGGCGGGGGGGGGGGGACAGGTAGGCTGGCGGGCGAAGTGTGTGGGATCCGCGGCTCGTGAAAACGCATACAGGAAATACATTTTGGCTATGAAATCTGAGGGGTTGACGGCATCAATCAAACAGAAGTGTAGGTATACAGTCGCTAGGAGCTCCGTGCTTCTTCCTGGCTCCTGCTCATCATGGAACCCTTCGATTGTGGCTAAGGGGAAAGACTGCATCAGTTTCCCGTGCAGTTCTGTCTGGATAAAGCACGGACTTGAAGACTCACCGATGTATCCGATGACCGATCGTATGTCCGACAGAAAACATGCTTTCTGCACATCCAATGGAGATGTTCACAGGGTCAACACGAGACGTGCAAACATTGATGTCCTTGTCTCAGGGGCTTTCTGATATTAAAAACCAATCCTGTCGGGGCTATTTTTGTTTGTCGGGGAAGTCAAGATGAACAATGCCATAAGCTTGAATCAGAATTAGAACGTTGGACAAATAATACTAAATCTGAAAGCGTTGTCTTTGGTTGAACATTTGTCTCTTTTTCATTGGAGCTAGATTTTGAGCCCTCTGGACATATTTAATTTTGTTTCCTAAACGTTCCGTTCCTAAAGCCGAGAAATTCGGAAACAAATTATTTTTCTGCCCAGTGGATGTTGACTTAATCAAATTGCCAGAGATTAGCATCAAGCAAGTGTACTATTTAGTTGTCCATTGCAACCAAGCATGTCTGCTGTGTTTTTTGCAGAAATCTCTGTAAAACCTTTTAAAGTATGTTATTTTCTTTCCATCCTCATCTGTAATCATGATGTAAATCATGCTTTATTTATTTCTTCAGTCCCTACCTGATTCTTGGATCTTTCTGGAATATCTGCGTAGGTCTCCTCCCACGCCAAAAAGTAAACATTGGTTCCATCCGGCCTAGAGTTAAATTCACTTAAATCTTTATTTTCAGTTCATTACCAGAAACAAATCAATGATCCTATTAAAAGATATACATGATGGATGTAAGGAGCTTTAAATGATCTTCTCTGGCGCCACTGTAGTTTGAATTCCCTCTTTCTTGGTCTCACGCCAAGCCAGCATTGATCCCAATTTGTCATTCCAGCATTACGTCCCATCGGATGCAATGTTACCACCTGTAATTCAATTATTCTGTCCCACTGAACAAATTACTGAGATCCCGGTACATTAAATCTCATTTTGGTGGTCTCAACATTTGAATTATAACAACGGGGGAGAAGATTTTGAACTTCATTCTTTTTTATGTCTGTTGGTTGGAAGGTGGCTCCACAGCTCACACTAGTTGGTCTGAAAATGTCTGTGTGAAAAAAAACCCAATTTTTTTTTATAGTCTTCCTAAGCATTGGGCTGCATTGTAAAAAAAATCCCTAAAAATGGAAAAAATATCAATGAATTTAGAGTGCGAAAAAGATGTTGCAAACGTTTCGTCACCATTTTGACGAAGTCCAAACACCGCGATTTTAAGCAATCTGAGATTTTTGGATGCTCAAACATTAAATGATGTCCTCTACAAAATTTCAAGACACAAATTCCATCGTTTATGCTTATTACACAAAGTAATGAAAGTGCGACACACTCAGTTTTTCGTTTTGACAAAGTGAAGAATCTCTATTTGTCACTTTGTATCATTGATTTTACACACGTGTGGTATACTTAGATTTATGTGGCCTTCAGGATTTGCGTTTTGACCAAGTGACGAATCTGCATTCTATAATGTACAAATTTTATATACGCGTGCGCTCTGTGTACAAACATGCTACATTTTTGTGACGAAGTAGAATTTCTGTTTTGACAAAGTGGCCAATATCTTTAGTAATTAATGTCTCCTAATTAAACATGACTTACAAATACAAATAGAGAATTTTTTTGGGCTATTCAACTACTGGGCTACTGCATCAGTTATATATATTCCATTCTGGTGAAGAAATGAATGCGAAAATGCGATTTGAAAAATAGACCAATTTTAAATGTGATTTTCTCAAAACTCGGTTGTGCAGCTGTATGTGCACTGATTCGTCACTTCGTCAAAACGGTGGTTTCTTGAGTACAATATATTTGCCGGTTTACTTCTGAAAACAAAACTGACATCCATGTGCTTTTTGAAAATCATCTGGAAAATGTACATGGCAGGAACTGGCCCTCTCTGCTGATTCCCGATTTCCGCCCCCCCTCTCCCCCCCCCCCCCCACCCCCTCCCCTGCACTGAAACAAATCCTCGCTACACGCCTATCCCTTACACAATCGGAGGATGATATTAACTCAGTTTTCATTAGCATCGCTTTTCTCCCCCTTGTCCCTCTGCTAAAGATTTTCATTTGTATTCGTATGCTATAGCAGAGATCCCAAGGAAACAAAAATCCTTGATATTCACTGAGGTCAAGCCAGCAGAGACCTTAACAATAAACCGCATCTTTTAATTTCCCCCTCTCCCAAGAAACGCCCCAGGAAGTCGCATTGATTGCAAGGGTAATCTTGCCTTCTGGACCTGGTGGTATATTGGCCACGCTTCATGGAAGCTTAGGTTATTAAAGATTTTCAAATATGTGGCAGTTTCTTAAATTGCAGGGGCGGATTCAGCTCTAGCTCATAGGGGGGGGGGGGGGGCCGGTGGGGGCGGGCCCCCATTGGCAAAAGCCATACATATGCATTTTTTAATGTTTTATTGTAGTAGTGCCCCCTGGTTGATACTATGCCCCCCCCCCCCCATGCATGCCCAGAGCTGGCGATGGCGCTGGATCCACCACTGAATTGTTTCAATTTCAGACTTGTGATTATAGGAAAAAAAGGATCGTAATGATAGTGTTGACTTGATTTATCCACCAAAAAGAAAAGATGATGAATTGAAAGGGCGGGAATTGATGGAGGCCAATATGCACTTCTAAATGAGATTTATTCTTATAGTTGCGTTCCCCGTTCTCCCAACAAATTCGATTTTTTTTTTTCTTTTAATGAATGTTCAACTTCTATGTTTTATTCCAACCAAAACACTTCCCTTTTTTTTGCCCTTTGGGGACATCTGCAACCCTCTGACAAAAAGGTTTTTGTTTTTGGTACAACATATCCGCTTTGCGAGCAGACTGGCTCCGAGTCTGTACATTATTGATATTGATTGTGGGGTAGGAACTAGTCTACCCCGTGAGAACAGAATAAAGTCATAATTCAATAACTGAGCATGATTTTTCGGTCGTTGTCTCATTCAAAAGTGAATAACTTCTGTACTGCTGGAAATATAGCAATTTAGAAGAAAAAAAAATCTATTTTTCCGGATGAAATTTCGAGTTTTCCATAGGTTTGTGCACAAAAATGGATGCGCCCATCAGGCATTACTTTGTACATCCAGTTAGCGCTCTAGTAATTTAATAATAGCTCTATGGGTAAGTCAGACTTTTCAAAGGAATAAATGATTTAAATGTCAAGGAAGGATCGAGCCAGGAATGTGATTTGGCAAAAATGCAATCTTTGAATAATGTTAGTTAGTTTTTAAATTGCAAAGAAATTCTTGAAAATTGGGTCGCACTCATTGTAAACTGGAGCCCAGTAAAAGGCAGTTTGAAAAGATCAACCAACCCGAATGTTGCTTTTTCCATAGACATACATTTGGTTGTTAAGATTCTGATAATGTTATGTGAATGTTGTTTTTCTTTTGTGGTGAAGGTTTTTTTTCCATCACCCAAAGCGTAAGGCCGTAAATTATGATTTATATAAAGTTCCATCAAGGCAAAGTTTCAAACAAATATTTTTAGAGGCAAATGATTTAAAAAACCATTTGGGGGAAACTTGTCTAAAAAAAATGTTCAATGTTATAAATCAGCAGCTATTTTGGCTTAATTAATTTTGAAATTGCTGATGAAATTTCTTGACAGTGGTGTACCTTGGATCCCATTTGGAGCAGGGGCCGGATTTTCTGGAGGGGGCACTCATGGTCTTTAAACAATAAAAAGCGTTTTCCGGGGGGAGGGGGGGGAGAGGGGGGGGGGGAGGTCTCGAGCGAGTGACCTGTTCCCCTCTGCTAGATACATCACTTTTATTGGAACTACTGTACAAACAAAGGCCTTTTTTTTTAATTAAGGGGGGGTTGGGGCGGTGCTATAGTTCATCCCCAATATCTTCAAGCATTATGATACCAAGCCATACGAAAAACCACCTAGGTGCACCTGTACTTACTTTGGAAAGTCTGAAACCTGAACACTCTGGATTGAGTGCGACTGGGCCGATCATGTTGCAACAATTGTGTCACTGCCCGTCAGTTTCGATTATGATTGATTTTGTTCTGAGGTGGCAGAGGAGAAACCTTTATTGGCTTGGAGGAATACAAGCTAAACGAAAATGATATCCTTTTCCTTGGGTGAACTTCGATAATTTTTACACAAGGGAAATAACACTGATAGGTAGTGTGGAACTTGCAAAAAATTAGCAGTTGTTTTGAAACTTGCTAGTAAAATAGGCACATATGAACATTTCCAATAACCCGGAAAAGTATCTGCCAAATCCAGGAGAAAATCCTTGCTCAAAGTGAAGACAGGATTAGTACCAAATACCCTGTGAAATTCGGAAGAACACAATCATTGAAGGTGGTTTGAGAAAGTGCGCCACAGGCACAGTTTTTTTTAATGTGCCAGTTTGCAACAGAATCCAGTTACGAGACCCACAAATTCTCCAAACGTTTTCTCTGTTTTCTGAAAATTTATAGTATCCACTGAGCTAAAACTTCATCAAGTTATTCACCCTCCTGAGGACGGACAGAGCACACTGTCCGAAACGTCGAGTTCTACACTCAACCAACCGTTTCTTTTCAGAACCACACTTCTTCTAAGAAGAGATTTCTTTTCCACATGGTGTTACCCGCAATTTTGTCTATTTTAAGTTAGTTGTTATGCACCCGTCTGTAGATTTTGACGCAATTTCTTTTTTTATCTTCTGAAATCTACAGAAACTCAGAGACAAAGTTGAAGAGGCTCACGAAATGTATGACTACAACCCAGATATACAGGTATGTGATTTAGTAATAGTTAAACTGTTTAGAGTGGTGTAGTCAAGTCGAGTCTTCACAAGATTATTCAAATGAACTATGACAAAGACGTTCCTTTTAATTGTTCCTCCCCAGTTACTTGTGATGGCCTTTGGGACCTGTGATTTTCTTGTGACCCGAGACCCGGTGTCATGTCAAAAACTGTCCGGTGCCAAATAGTGTCCGCTCATTAGCATACTGCTATGTGAATGGTCATGCGTCTTGTGACATCACATTGTTGACGGAAGATTGCCGAATAGTGTCCGCGCTTAGCATGCATCCTATGGTGTCCATGCGGTCAGCTTTCAAGACATCATGAATGAAATCGTTTTTCATCAATTTTCCCGTATAATTTGTTTTAGCCGTAACTTTTCTATCTGCAATTATTAAACTGATTGTAGATTTTGTTTTAAATTGATATTTCTGACATAATATAAACTCACATTTGGCTAAACTCTTTATGTTAAATAACAGTTTCTCTCACATTTTTTAGCATCATTTGAGCAAGAACGAACAGTATTGTGGCAAGAAAATTGACCAACAGTATCTAAGAATGAATTGAAATCCGTGCTGCAATGCATGACATCGACAGAGCTCAGACACTGTTTTTATCACCGGACACTATTTGGCACGTATTACGTGCCAAATTGCGCATGCTCTCAGCAGACACTATTTTGCACCGGATGGTTTGTGGTGTTGGCATGACACCGGCATGTGGTGGATTTGTGATGGACTAACACGCTGATTGTTGATCAGTCTTTCAGTGTCTGTTTGTCTGATTTCCTTTGCTTATGTGTTTATATGCAGTTTAATTACGGTATGCTTTTCAACTCTTTTTTTTACTGAGCACCATGTCTGTAATGTTCTCACACTCAAGTGCGTTGCTTTTCATGTGAAAATTAACCAACAATTGGAGGCATATGAGATGTCCAGTCTTGGTGCCGCCTACAGATCCGAAATAGCATCAGTAAACTTCAGCTTCTTGCGATCATACATCTCCTGGGAAATTCTATTCTCCTTGGTCTTGTTATTGTTGGGAAATATCTGTCACGGAGTGACCGTACTGGTGGTGGATGAGAGATTGCAAACCGTGAGGGACTTGTCATAGTCACTGTGTCCACATCCGCAATCAATCAGATCAGTCAGTTTGTTGCTGGACCCGAAGGGCTAGACTATATTGTCCACTGGCTGGGTCAATGACTGACTGACTGACTGACTGAGTAACAAAGTATAAATCACGCGGGAAAACTGAGATTTTTGGTCAAGCTTGAGTACTCAGCTTTAAAGAATTGCTTTGTTTAAAGTTTGGTAGTAATGTCTTACATTCCCATGTTCATAGAGATTGGCTACCTTCGTATAGAGATAATAACCTCAGAAATTCCCATAAACTTTCCAGTATCAGATGCAGGACCAATCGGTATAAAAACAGTCCCATCCCATTTTAACCTCAATTTTAAACAATCAGTAGTTTTTTTTATATATACTTGGCAGTTTTTTTTTCTTTCTTGCCAACAGTTATTCAGTCTTTGTGCGTGCTCGGTCCAAAATGTTTAACTGTCATTGCAATAACTGTAATTCCATTTGTCTTGTCCTTTGCATGTCATGTTTTTGAATTGTAAGCTTGCGTGTTTACGTGTGTGACCTTAATGTTATTTATTGTTAATTTCATTGTTTTTAAATGATATGGTTTTTTAATTAATATTGTGATTTTGTGAGTGGAAGCGCTTTTCAGCCTCTGGCTGCAATGTCTCTTTTTGTATGATTGAATAAATAAATAAACCATTAATAATAATAATAATAAAGGTGATATACAACATTTGCAAACATAAAAAAAAATACAAAATTATGGGCCATAGTACCAACTAGGGGGGCCCACTACCATAACAAATACAAAAATACAAATGTATGGCTTTTGCCGTGGGGGGGGGGGCAATTGCTCAACAAGTGGTGCCCCACCAGGCCCCCTTGGTGATGGGCCTGCCCAAAGTGCATGACAAGCAACCATATATTGCTCTGTTCCAGTGTTCTGGAGGTCTCAGGTTCCACTCTCACTCCAGTCAGATTCTTTTGTTCAATCTGAGATCTTTTTTTTTTACCTCCAAAGTTTGAGTACTTCAACTCCAACCTGGTGAACACCAACACCACCGGCCGCAATGATAGAGACCTCCATTTGCGCAAGACGTTTGATCTAACACCCAACGAACACTTCAACGACATTCCTGTCAATATCATCAACAGTACTGTCCAAGTTGCTGCCAATGTCTACAACTTTGGTGAGTAAAATATACAAGACCATCTGAACAGTCATAATTTATTGGAAAATATAGTTTACTCCCTTACTTCCTTAGCACAATGATACAACTCTCACCTGGACATGCTGTATCTGGGTTAAGCATTGAATAGACATTGAAGTTGGTAACATCACAGGTGAGAGTGGCCCAAGTAAAATTTATATCCTTTCACTAATTGATTGTATTTCTGGATCTAGGGACCCAATTGGAATGGGGTAAAAAGGAGTGGATTGAGAAATAGTCAGGCTTTAATGTAATATATAATTTCATTGAAGAAAAAAACCCATCAAACTGTTTTAATTATTTTGTTTTTTTGAATGTTTACTTGGGGGGGGGGGGCAAACTCTGTACTAGTTTAATTGTTTCGTAGGGTAAAAGTGGGGAATTGTTAATATATTTTTTTGTCAATTTTTAGATTGAAGTGGCATAAAGGTATTTGAGAAAAAAATTCCTTGAAAAAAAATTTAAAAGTGTGTTTTCCTTTCTGTCATTGCAGTCAGAAAGTGTGTTGCAACAACAGGGAAATTAAATGCAGTTTGTGAGAACAATATCAGGAAAAATTGATTAAAAAAAAAAATCAGAACCTACGTAATTAAAATCTGAAATAAGATATGAACCAAAGAAGGAAATAGATTGAGTCAATATTCATTGAGCTAGCATTTGAGAAAAACAAATGGTCAGTTTTATTTCAAGAGTTTGACTCAAGCTGGAGGGTGTCTCTCACACAATTAAATAAAGACTACCGTGTGACACTCCGTAACAGCTTGATATGACATGTTTGTTCCATGGACTTGTTTTGAACAATGTCATTCACACAGGCCCAATTACCGGAGTGAAATGTACTACATACGTCATTGTCTAGACATGGCTTCTAAACACTGATGACATTGGTGTTGATGGGGACATTTCTCAGTGGCAATAATGGCGGTGAATTTTAAGAATTACCAAAATAATTTATAGGTCTTGTCAATATTGGTTAATTTCAAACAGTGTACCGGTAGGCCTGAAAACAGACATAACTGTGTATGTTAGCTGTTACTACGTGTTCAGTGGCAAACCACAGTCCATTTCTCATAATGCCCCCAACCGACAGGTTTATTTGTGGAAAGAATGTAGTATCCTGATGCCATTCTGTTGGATGTTTATAAAGTCTATATGAGGGATCGTGAAACTTTCTAAATATATTTTGAAACATTCAGATATTTCTCAATCCCAACTGCATGATTTTAACCAAAATTGCAGTAATTGACCCTCACTAACGTTATAAATGGTGAAAATCAAATTGCATTTAGATACTGTATTCTACCATCGTACTTGGAACTTGGATCATAAAATACAGATTTATAACAAAACATGTATTCATGGCGGCAGCGGCATAGCCAGGGGGGAGGAGGTGGGGTCCCTCTTAAAAATTGTGCCTCTCCCCGCCATCGCCCCCCCCCCCCCCCAACTGAAAATGTGGTAGTCCTTTTTCATGAGTGTCCTTGTTTTTTCACGAGTGCCCCTTTTTAACGTCACATGAACATCTTTACTTGTGCCGCCATAAAGAATGCCACCCATTGTCTGATAGTGTCTGCTTTGAAGGAAGATGGTGTCCAGGTCCCCCTCCCCCACACCTCCCCCCCCCCCCCAACTTTTTTTATTTACGGAGGCCGCGGGTAAGCAGTTAAAAAAAAAGTCTACCTTTCAGTCTAAACCCCTCTTGGATCATTAAAAAATGGGAAAATCGTGCAGAAAAACACTGCAAATGCCTGTTAACCCCCTCTTGGCTGCTAAACCACCTTCTTGATCGAAACCTGGAATCTCCCCTGGCGAATTTTGTACCACTACAGACCTTGCAGTGAGCCCCCTTTCAAAATATGGCCAGAAATGTCGCGCCTTTATGGGCTCCATTCGCGAACAAGAGAGGGCAATTTTTACCACCTCTGAGAACCCCATGGACGGGACGCACCGCGTGTGCGTGCTGGTTCGCAAGCGTGAAGTACGAGTACGCACAACTTATTTATCCTGAATGTGCCCAAAATCATAGCGTCTTCGCGTGAGCGGTCTCACCAAACTCTCCCCTTCTTACCGTTGAGGGGGCACTTGTTCACGGAGCCCATTGGAATAAGAGGTAAAAGCTCCATCCTTACAAAGGCCTGGCATGTAATTGGTTTTATCAAGGAGAAAGAGGAAAGATACATTTTACTCATGTTTTCAGAAGTGTTTGAGGGGAGGAATACCTTTCCCATTGAAGGTTTATGGATGCATTGGAGATCAAATTAGCCGTCAACAAAGGCTTGCCTATACTACCTACTGGGCGCGGCACAATACAATCTAATTTGCCTATCACAGTGGTGATGCTGACTTTCCAATACCCAGATGTAGGCCAGGGCACTTGGATCAGTGAGAGACCTCTAGCTATTCTGCTGAATAGGTCCAGTGCTTTGATCTCCAATATTAAACAGAATTAATACTCTATAAATCAGACTTAATTCGTCAGTTTGACTGGATCCAATTAAATATTTGTATAATAATAATAATAATAATAATAATGGCATTTATATTGCGCAAAATGCATAAACTTACGTTCTAATGGTCATTACAATAAAAATTACTTGAAGGATAAAACCGTACTATTTTAATCAAAACTACAATACCATACCATTATTGAGGCATTATTGTATCACAGGTGTAATTTTGTACGGTAGCCTTTTCGATTGGTCATAACTCAATAAATATTTTTTCGAATTCGTTGTTGAAAAGCTTTTGAAATAAAATTGTCGAAAATGTATCAATATTTTTGAAAGCTGTGAAAGAGAGGGTGGCTTGAGGGGGTTTTTTTTTTGGGGGGGGGCACCCTGTAGTTTAAAAAAAATTGGTCCAAGTGACTGGTTTTGTACTGTAAATTTTATTTTACATATGTGATGCGATCAAGCTAAATGAGTCGTTTGTTGACCCCGGTCAAAAAATTTTTTATTACAGATTTGAAAAGAGCACAATCTCAGCATTACTGCTGTGAAAACCGCATGCTGATACCATCTTTAGTTCAAAAATTATGGAAGTCGGAACACCAAGAGATGTGATAAAGTGATGTGATGAAGTGGCCCTATTTTGGCCTGTATCTCCAAATGAAAATTCCCGACAAACGACTCATGTAGCTTGATCGCATCAAATATTATATGCAAGTGAAATATGCATTCCTTTTTGTGTTTCAGGTCCGGATGTTTTTAAAAGTATCGCAGAGACGGAATTACTAAGTGAATTTTTTTCGAGAGTACTATGAGAGAGTTTGAACCTTACGTTCTGTAATAACGTATATTCAAGTGTCATATCCATTCCTTTTTGTGTTTCAGGTCCCGATGTTTTTAATAATATCGCAGAGACGGAATAACTAAGTGAAGATTTCAGGAGTACTATGAGAGAGTTTTAACCTTACTTTTCTGAAATAAAGTATATGTATTCAAGTCTCATATCCATTCCGTTTTTGTTTCAGGTACCGAAGTTTTGAACGGTATCGCGGAGACGGAGGTACTGAATGAAGTTTTTCAAGAGAACTACGAGAGAGATCCCACGCTAACTTGGCAGTACTTTGGCCACAATACGGGATTCTTCAGGAACTACCCAGGTAAGTTTGCAAACCCGAGCATAGAAATGATGCGCGTTTTCAAAAGTCAAAATTCAAAATGAAGTGGGTGAATTAAATGTGGGATATCTGAACCGTCTGGATTTATCATCGGTGAAAAAAATTCAACAGGGGTCATCAATGTTTGGATGCCCATTGGTGCTGCGTATTCATTTGTACAGTACTCTTGGCAACATTTTTGATCAAATGTAAACAAGCACGGATCCAGAACCAACATTTTCGAGGGGGGGGGGGAGACAAGAGGGCTCAAGTATTTTGTTTGTCAAAAAGGGAAAGGGGTTAAGTATATATAGTATCGTGCACTAGTACCACATTGTAATATTAAAACTAAAAAGGTATGTGAAGCTGATGGCTAGCGAGGGAGATATGAACGTTTCAATTTATTTCCTGAAAACTAAAAAAAAATGTTAATAAGTATTCAAATAAGAAAAACAGAAGGGTAGGCCCCCAACTCTTTCCTACTTTCCACATCCCCATAACCATATCATATTACTCAGGAAATATATCAGACACTTAAGTGTCTGCATAATAAACTTTCATCAGTGGCTTGCCACACAGGAACATTTTCAAGTGTTTCACACCAAGAGCCCTTGTGCGTTTTGCTCGTCGTTCCTCCTCGCATCCGCACCTCATAAATTGATAAAGAAAATTGAAGTGGGCGCGAAGCTGTGAGTAGCTAGTTACACATGCCAGTCACATTATTAGTCCAATTCTTCGCGATAATGGGAAAATGGGGTCGTGAAGTGGCCATGTGACAGCTTCGGAATTGGACCAGATGGTGCAAAGGTATGGAGTGGAGCTACGTAGCGCAGATACGCCATTATTGCTTAAAGGGTAACTGCAACAAGAGGAGAAAATTCAGCTCTTACTGTCCATGCATGCTCCTCAACAGATCGACTTTTTTTTTCTTCCGATAAACTTTAACTTTTTAAATGTTGAACAAAACAAATTGACTGGTGTGGCGTAACCTGTTGTACTTACATGTTTTATTTTTCCTAAAACAAAAATTGATTTTCTGTTTTGGCCATCTGCAACCCACAATAAGATTTTTTTTAATTGTGTGTTGCTTAAACCCAAACTAACAGATCAGCCCAGAAAGTTGACTGGTTCCCAGTTCCCACATTGTCAGTTCTGATAGGGAGGTGGGAACCAGCAAGTACTGAATTAGTGTAACGCCACAAATAAATCAATATTTGTTATGGAATCACTCCATAGCTAACACTGGGCCAGCATTTTCCATTCGATATCTCATTCAAATGTGAATAACTTTGAAAAAAAATAGCAATTAAAAAGTGACGTGGACTGCCGATCTCCATAAAAGGAGATTTTTAGCAATACGCGCATAGGGCACATACTGTAGACATGGCAAGAGGGGTGTTTTACAAAACATGTGGTGAAATTGTTGAACAAAATCATTGGACAATTGTGAATTTTTGACTTGTTTTGACTTTTTGACTCAAAGCTATTTACATGTATGAATGGGAATAAATATTGGCTTGGCCGGTATTAAACAAGTATATTTAATACAGGCCAGGAGCCTGGTTGCGGATAATGACCCGAGCTGAAATCAGCATCCAGGTTCCCCTATAGCCAGTCCCGGACAGCGTCCAGGCCCGTAGATGGTTTTAAACGTACAGGTAGGCCCTACTTGTTTAAAACCAGCGGAGCACATACTTATTCCCTTTATAGAGAATAGATTTAGACACATCCGCCTTCAGCCTCTCCAATCCTGAAGCACGCCCTACACAATTTGATGCGGCAGAAAAGGACAATTAACTTTTGCCAGTGCAAGCATCAAAAGGCATTTCACTGCAGATTGCAACCGCGGTATTTTTGATCTCACAAATCCCAGAACAGCACTTCTTTTGAACCATGCCATCAAGTCAAAAGCTCTTAATCCTAAGACGTCCTGACATACTCGCTATCCTCCATTGACCTGCATCCCTTTATGTCTAATATGATCAGTGCAAAGTCCGACAGGAAATGGGCTTCTGTAGGCAGGCTCAATCGCAGATTTTACACCCAAAATCTCGGAAGTAATTGAGCGCAATGGTTAGCTCTTATGCTGGCTAACAGTTGATGTTTATGTAGATTTGTTTTGGCAGAAGAGGGCTCTTATGTCAAGCCTACACGGTGAATCAAAGTATGGAAAAAAGCAGTAGGGAGTTGAAAATGTGTTTTTCACTTACTCTTGTCACAAGAGTTTTAACTTCACAAAAAATATAAAAGTTGTGACAACCAAACAGTGCATTCCCAGGTTAACACTTTTTCTTGCGAGGCATTGTAAAGGGTGTGGATGCCAGTTACATTTTCCTCCATTTGTTAAGAATGTTTCAAGACATTTTCATAGCAATCTTTGTCAAGTTTGATTATGAGATGTGTAATTGAACTGAACTTGTTTTATGTCAGTCATGCCTTTGTACAACAGTAATATAATGTATGGTGTCTTAAACTTCTTGCAAGGATTGTTAAGATGCTTATATGGTTTTTCCAAAGTTGAAACCTGTTTTCAACATCTTTTGATCAAGGATGGAACAAAAGAGTTTTATCAGGTGCTGTAGCTTAAGATCAACAACTTAAGATATTGTGAAATTTTCTCTTACTATTCGTTTCGGAATTGACATTTATGAAAATTTACTTTGACTTTGACAACTAATCAAGTTTTTGACGAGTATAAAAAAACATTAATTATAGAAGACCTTAGCTTTATGGTGATAGACTTATCAAATTGGTCTAAGGTTGACATTGATGAAAACTGATATTGACAGTTGTTGTTCTACCTGAAGTAAAATTTCTTTCCAGAGACCCTGCAGTAAATGAAACACCTCGAGATTAATCTCACAGATTCAAAGAAACAGCTATGGAACTCTATTAATGGTCAATTTTTGCCAAAATTACAGAAAAGCTCTTGTAGGCCTCCCATGGGAAATTGTGCAGAAAAAGGAAAGAAACAAGCAGTTTTTGTTGTTATTTTTCAGGAATCGAGTGGGAACCAGACAGCAGGGGCTTGGACCTGTACGATTGCCGCAAGCGAGGCTGGTAAGTTAGCTCGGATTTCTCTTCGTGCTGAATGTCAAAAGCCCTTCTGAATATTCCTTTTGTGACATTTTTAGTGAACTATACTCATAAAAACCAAAAGGCCACGATGCACTACATGTCAACTGGCCCGTATTGACTAATTCCAGTTCAGTAACTAGAATTAGAAGACATTTACTGACATTAAAGTATAGCATGAAATTATAATCTGACTTTGGACATTTAGCGAACAATTAGCTGAACATATTTTGTACTGTAACTGCTCAAAATTGATTGTGCAAGGTCAGTTTTGAGCCAGGGGTTTTTAGTGTCTAATGTCACCCTTTTTGCACACATCCGCTTGGTGCTCTTTTGAACAAACACCACGTTTAAAATCTGGCAAATTACATGCACTTGTGCTCCACAAATTTAAGAACCAATGCAATAAAGGGTGAGTAAAAAAAAAGAAACCCACATGTCGGGACCATTGTTTTAGTGAAGTTCTGCATGTAGCATGTTCCAAATCTATTGCATTGCTCAGATAGATCAAACGTTGGTTACAGAGAGGGCTCTGTTTGACAACGGGTGATACTCAGACTATGCTTTGATATGGAGAGTCTCAAAAATTAAGTGCGCAATGCAATATCTGTTGAAACTGCAATAATTTAAAACAAAAATCACAGCCTGGCTAGCTTGTACATCAGGCTTTAACCTTTCATTCCATAAACTGATACTGACAACACAAGACAATGTATTCTTCCTCTTCTAAATGATGATATATATCTCCGACATCGGACAATATCGTGTTACAAACCCCAAGGTCCAATAGAAAGTAATCCCTCGGGGTTAGGCCCACGGAGGAATGGAGATAATAAAAATATAAAGAAAGCGTAATTACCTCTCAACCAGTTTGAATTTCAATTTTCCGAATTCAATTGCGTGTGATATGGACTTGAGTTCCGTTATACATTTTTCATTCTGTTCAATCATGTGTAAGCCATAGATATTGTCTTATGTGAGTCACCTGAGGGTCGTAGACAGAATTTGACTGTGAGCGTGCTCAATTATTAAACTGCTTGTCTGAGTTCATGTTCATGTTCACGACTTCAGAATTTCGCTTCTTGGAGAATCAGGTTGAGGGGGAAAACAAGATTGAGGGGGAACGTAGTTAAATTAAACCATCTGCACAGCATTGCAGGGACTTTTTTTCTTCAAAAGCTGATGGAAAGATTTCATTGGATGCATGGTGCCGTGACAAAAATGAAGGCCTTTCCATTAAAAATTATGAAAACAGGTGGCTGTTTTTTTTTAAAGGGCATGTGTTATTTCTGTTTTGCCTCTGTATAGTTTGTGACTATCCAGTAAAACAGACAAACATATAGACAAGGACTTGTATTTATACTTTTTAATGAGTTCTTTGGTCAAATGACTGGTGTACAATTTAGTGAAGCCTAGAACAGGATTCAGGGTGTCTAAAGAGTTTGCGTTATTAGTTCAAAATCTTCGCTTGTACTTGTGTCAATTTCTCAAATACAGAGTGCGCCAAAAAAAAGTGCAACATTCAGAAAACAAATAATTAAAACTATTTAATGTGGTTTTTTTTTCTTCAATGAAATTAAAGCCTGACTATTTCTCAATCCACTCCTTTTTAACTCATTCCATTTGGGTCCCTAGATCCAGAAATACAATCAATTAATTGAAAGGGTGTGAAATTTTCTACTTGGGCCACTCTCACCTGTGATGTCATCAATTTCAATGCCTATTCAACGCCTATTCAATGCTTAACCCAAATTCAGCATGTCCAAGTGAGAGTGGCCCAAGTGTACAACCTTTCACCTAATTGATTGTATTTCTGGATCTAAATGGACTTAAATGGAATGGGGTAAAAAGGGGTGGATGGAGAAATAGTCAGGCTTTAATGCAATATATCATTTCATTGAAGAAACAAATATTGAAAAGTTTTAATTATTTGTTTTCTGAATGCTGCACCTTTTTTTGGCACACTCGTACATTGGGTCTTCTTCCCTATAATGTCATTTTAATGTCATTTTGTCCCATTCGTCAGCAAATCAGAATGCAAATACCTTAAGCCTATGCAAATCATGGGCGCCAGGCCTTTGGGCTTTACCCATCTGTGTGATTATGGAGAATAATGTATTTTATTGTGTATGCAATAAAATGAATTAATTTGTGCATATTTGTAAAAATACCGGTACATGACATTGTCATGCCGCGAAGTCCGCAAAGCATGTTTAATAGGCCTTTGTTTGCTGAGCGGATTTCAGCTGACAGCCGTTATGCTGTAAACATCACATGACATTTCTCTGCATTAGCTGCTGTTTTGAAGTATATCTCTAGGTGGACATCAGTGTTGCTGCTTCTGCGAGCCCCCAATCTTTACTCTTCTCCCTGCCCCTTCTCCCCCCCCCCCCCCCACCCACCCCTCCCGGCCACCCCTTCATTACTTGATCTTTCACTCCCCATGGCTTGTCAAGTGGTAATTTTTAAAATATCGCCAACAACACGACTCATTTTTTGACCCACCAACCAGAAATTACCTGAAGAAAGTGCACCAGAAAGGTCGTAAGCCATTAAACCGGCTGTTTTTACACCCTTGAGGCTGTTAAGATTGACACCGTATAGAACGTGAAGGCTCTCAGAATGGCTCTGCAAATTTACCAAAGCCGACGTGATAAATGGAGTCTTATTGAATCACCCTGGGGCGTGTAACTGTCAGTGTCATGCCAAAGATCTTAACCGAGATTTTAGTAAATGGGATTCATTGTTTGAAAGTTTTGTTCAAACTAGTCGATGTACAATTTAATACCTTTTAAGTTACATGTACTGTCAAGGAACGTGACCAGCTGAGAAGAGTTTTGCAGTTTTCATTTTAAAAAAAAAATGGTTTGGCCTTTATTCAGCTCTAATGGGATCCATGCACAAGTACCCCATCTATGGCCAGAAAAGGAGAGCTGGGATGACCTAGACTGGTTCCGATCCATCCACTGCGTATTTCGAATGTATCCGAAGTTATTGGAGGCGGGGATTAAGCTCGGCGACCATCGCAAGTTGAATTCAAACGTATTCGTGCGCCGATGATGCCTGCATGACGCTCACGCGAAGACGCGGTGGCTATAGCTTTTGCACCTTCAGGAAATTGTACAAACCTCGCGCGTGAACCAGTACAGTACAGTACGCGCACGCTGTGTGTCCCGCCAAGGAGCTCTCAAAAGAGGTAAAAATGTGCCCTCTTTTGTTGGCTCACGGAGCCCATAAGGTTGTTGCCCTTTTGTATTTTTCTCACATGAACACGCGACTGCAGCAAAGTGCGAAGATGGAAGTAAACCAATACGCCGTAGGAGCGTGACGTCACCCGTGGTCGTCTCCAATAGCGATCGTTCCAAACAATGTCTTGTGGGCCATTTAATGCTACCATAGGATATGTATAGGCAATTAAGGTGAAAATTTTCTTTCTCAGACTTCAAGAATAAATAAGACTGGAAAATGGAACAGTGCTTCATAGCTGACTGCAGTTATCACTCCGAACGTGACAGATTCTGTTTATTTTTAATTTCCAATAAAACGATGAAAAGGGACTCGTGCATATCGCTACGTGTACGTAAGATCGAGTTTGTTTGGAAACATCACCCCAGACAATGCTTGACCTCGGCCGCGTATGACTAATAACCAATTCTATGGCGTATTTAATAGCATTTAATGCACACGTTATGAAACATGAATTAATGGAGTTGTACAACAAATGTAATTTGTAGAATCCTGGATGGTTCTGTCGTGGCAAGAATCTTAATGAAGGCCACTGAATTGTGCTGGTATGATGTCTCATCACTTCTTCATAACATTGAATAAACACTTGTGAAAAGAGCAACAAATTAAAGAGGTTGTGGAATGCTAGAAAACATTTCCGTCATTTTTGGGGTATATGTAGCCTAAGGTGTGATGAAATAAAAATGAATATTGGCTCTGTCATGAAATGAGTACAAAGGGTACTTTTGAGAGCTATTTTTCAGGTCCTGTTTCGACCCAACGTGCAATTTGTATAAAAGTCGTCGTTGCGGGCAGCAAACAAAACACAGTAAATCGTGATGTAATAAACAGGACTTGTTTATGCTACTCTGCATTGGGAGTATTTTTCAGGTCCTGTTTCGACCCAACGTGCAATTTGTATAAAAGTCGTCGTTGCGGGCAGCAAACAAAACACAGTAAATCGTGACGTAATTAACAGGACTTGTTTATGCTACTCTGCATTGGGAGTCCTGTTTATTACGTCACGATTTACTGTGTTTTGTTTGCTGCCCGCAACGACGACTTGTACACAAATTGCACGTTCGGGTCGAAACAGGCATGACAGGACTTGAAAAACAGCTCTCAAAAGTACCTTTTGTACTCATTTTATGACGGAAACAATAGTCGTTTTTATTTCATCACACCTTAGGCTACATATACCCAAAAAATGACGGAAATGTTTTCGAGCATTCCACAACCTCTTTAAACCAGATGATTGACGTGTGTTTGAATGCTGTTTCTGCCACATGTCAATTACATGTAACATGCAGTTGTGGGTATATGTCTGCGCTGTAATGTTTTGGGCACATTTCAGTTTAAAATTGATCATGGTTATTATACTGGTACTTTGTACCATACATGCTCGACCATATTTGCTGGTACATTGACGACTTTGAGGGAGAATATAATTATGTGTCCACTGTACTGATGTTTGCACTTTTCAACCATATTGCATATTTTTTTTCATGTGCAACTTAAATCTTTATTGTTCAATTCCTCTAAACCCTGCTGTTCGTACAAAACCTTGAAATAAAAAAAAAAAAAAATTTCCCTCACAAACACATCATGTACAGCTCTTAGTCTTTACTGTATTCTTAAAACAGGAATGACACCTATTTTATTCCTGTTTTCTAAAAAAAGCAATATAACCTGTTTATGACTGTTTTACAAAAAAAGAGAGGAATAAAACAGGAACCTGTTTTATGAGGTTTTCTTGCACACTGTTTTTAACCTGCGTAATCCTGTTTGAATCCTGTTTCGAGCTGTTCCAAAAAACAATGGAAAAACATGTTAAAAAAAAAAAAACAGTTTGAAGCAGGATACAAACATGTTTTATTCCTGTTTAAATTGGACCCACAGCTGCTCCTTGATCTCCACTACTCCCTACAGCTGGGTACACCACATTACTGCCACATTCTGTTTCAGTGTAGTGCTTTCCTTGTATGACATGTGGTCATTAATGTAAATGCTCCCTTCTTGTTCACTAGTTGTCACTTCAGCTGTCCAAAAGGTTTACTGCAATTTGCAAATGCCCTTTTAGGCCAGAAGTACTCCAACCTCAAAAACGATGTTCAAATTATTCTATTTTGCTAAGAAAATATTGGTTAAAATGGTCAGAAATTGCCTCAGATCACACCACTTTCCAATTTTTTCGGAGGGCCCCAAACTCAACGCCCATAAGGGCTTTGCCCGCATCAGTTCTGATCAAGGTATGTCCCCCACCCCCCCCCCCCCCCCCCACTTTTGAGAAGCGATTGAGGCCTCTGCTCTCCATAGACCTCTCTTAGGTCAAATCTTCTGTGTCTGTCATTTAATGAAGTTTCCAACTCCCTCTCGTTGGTAATATGTGCGAAGCAAAGCCAGTTATTTACGGCTTTGGGCCATCTGACAAATTTCACCAGCAGAATTTTGTTTAGCATTTGCACGTAATTTCTCCACAACCGGAGGCTGTACCTACCTACAACCTTGGAGATTAAAGCTGTTAAAATTAATATCCAACCAGTAGTCTGGTGATTTTTGCCATTGTAAGGGAGAAACTGATGAAGAAGTCAGGAACAAAGACTCGCTAGCTTTATTAATGAAAAAAAATGCGTGGAAAATAAAACTCCCGAATTGTTTTTTTTTTTTCTTCTTTTATTTGTAGTGGTACCAGTACTTAATGCCAGGGTCACATAGATGTATTGTACTTTTTACTTGCAGCTGTAATCAGATACCTTGAACTTAAAAAAAAATTCAACTGAATAAATTGTCTTTATGTACGCAGACTGTGGTTAATTATCAAAACTTGTTCAGAAATTCGTGTGAAGGTTGTTATTTATTTTTCTTTTCATCTAGAAAAATCTAGAAAACACTTCTCACACTGTGACATTTTTTGGGGTACTGTTTAAAAACCGAGACATGTCTTTGGAGATATCATCTTGCATAATAGCAAAGATCAGAGGTTTGCAAAATCATTTTTTTTTTAGAGAAAATCCGGGTCTTCAATCAAAATAGAAAACATTTTTTTTGTCCACTTAGGCCTAGTTGTTTTTACCTTTAACTTGTTTTACAAACAAACTCTATTGACCATAAAAGTTCACTCACAATCATAGCACTATGGAATTCAAACACAAAACAAATTTGACCAAAAAGTATCACAGGACTGCTCATTTCTATACTGGAAAATAGTATTCAGTCACATTTCAAAGGTTGCATTTGTTGGAATGTTTTTATCAGGACTCATCACAAATCAGCCTACCAAATTTTAGGTAACAAGCTTAACCTTTCCTTTAAGTTGATATACAGTATTTCCCCAAAAAGTTTCCGTCTGACTATTTTTGAAATAACTACAAAACCATGAAGTCATTTTTGAAATGTTTTGTTGTGCAGATACTCCTAAGCCATGCAGGATTTTACACAGCTTACATTACACAGCACTGACATTGATTAAGGCAAGGAACTTGGTCACACAGTGTCCAAAAAGTTGTTGTGATCAGTTGACTATTGTGCAGTAATGCGTGACTGATATTTAAAGAAACTCTTCTGGACTTAGGCCAAGGATAAGGAGAACCTGCACAAGCAAACAATTATAAAATTGACTTCATGGTTTTGTAGTTATTTCAAAACTAGTCAGACGGACACTTTGTTTGGGACAACATAGTGTATATATTTGTTTACATTTTCTGTTGTAACTCTCTGCAGGTACATCTCCTCAGCGACCTCACCCAAGGATGTAGTCATATTGGTGGATACCAGCGGTAGCATGACCGGCTCACGACACGAGGTGGCCAAGCATACCGTCAACACCATTATGAGTACACTGGGAGACGACGACTTCTTCAATGTCATTTCAGTAAGTTTGGCGCAAGCAAAGTTCATAATGGGCTCGGTGCGCGAACAAGAGAGGGCACTTTCCCAGTGGATGAGACACACCGCGTGCACGCACTCTTGTTTTACTTTACTCTCGAGGACAATGCTTTGTGTTTCCCTTTGTCCCTCCAATATAATACTCTCCCATAGACTAAGCGTACAAACTTACTACAGAGGACTGTTTTTGAGAAAAGCCTCAACTCCCAAGGACTGAAAGGATGTGTTGTTCTCCCTTTGTGTGTCAGTCCTCGGGGGTTATGTAGAACACGTACACAGATTTGTGCGCATATTGCACGAAGTGCACATGATTAATTTTATTATGAATTTTACACAAAGCCATCGCGTGAGCGTTAGGCTAACTTTGGCAGTGCATGCCTCTTCATGTGGCCTCCCCCAACTCTCCTTTTTTCAGTTGAGGGAGTTTACTTGTGCACGGAGCCCATAAGCCCTCTTCACACTAGACTAATCTCGGGGTTGACACAGGGTTGACACTTGAAGAATTTCAACCCTGCGTCAACCCCGAGATTGATTTCGCCCAGGGTTGAACTCAACCCTGCTCCAGACCAGGGTTGAGATTTTCAACCCTGGTTGAAATTCTTGCCAGGGTTCAAAACAGCTAACTGAGCATGATAAGCTTGATTTGCATGAAACAAGTGTGAAACGATGCAGGGTTGAATGCGGGGTTGAAAAATCAAAAACTCAACCCGGGACGGCACTGGGTTCGCCCAGGGTTGAGTTCAACCCGGGTTGAGAAGCTCTAGTGTGAAAAGGGCTATACAGAGGTTATGCTTTTAATTTTTGTAAGGTGCTCCAATAGCTCATAAGATTGTGTGGTCTTCCGGCATCATGCCACTCGTTCCAAATTCTGCTATGTGTGTACATGGCCGTAGGTATATTGCTCACTTTACCAACTTCAGCCCTGGCCTAGCCCCCTGCTTTTACTCTTGCAGTTTTGTCTGAACTGAAATGGGCTAAAATGTAATAATGAAAAAACAAATAATTCTGGACTGAACGTGTTTTTGAAAATATTACTCATCAGCATGTTTCATCCACTAGCTAACCTAATTTCCTTGACCACAATGTGCCTAAGCAAAAACACACACTCACAAATTCCAATTTTGAGGTGTTCTGTATATATTTGTCTCTACACCATTCGATTACTTCTTTCAGCACAATTTCAGAGAACCTAATTGCTTTGGAGGCGGCTTCAATCGGATTGTTTAAGATTTCCAAGGGTCATTGAGACCGTACAAATTTGCACCGTTTGTACAGATGCGGCTATTAGCGACAGCAATGAAAACCCTGAAAGCGTGAAGCGTTGTGTATATATTTGCCCCTTTATGCCATAAACACTGCTCGCTGTTCGTCGCTCACGTTTTCAATCAGACCCCAGTGAATTGCTCTTAAGAGCAAATTTGCCCATCCTTTGGTTAATCTTCTTCGATAGTGACCCCTTTTTCTCCCAGCATTAGAATTCCTCATCTAATTTGCAGCTTAATTCTTGATGAATTGGTAGCCTGATTGTAAATTCAGCACTACTTTTATTGTGCCAAAATCTATTTTTCCTTTTTTATTCATAAAATCTTTATGATTGGTTACGGGGCCGAACAGATAATGAGAAATTGTAAGTGGACAAAATTAATCTGCTTTTCATTGAACTTGCTACAATCCCAAAGTATTTTAACACAGAGAATAAAATCCTTGACCTCTTTATTATCAGTTGCAAAGTTTTTGAGGAAAAGAGCATAATATAGACCAGCATTTAAATAAAAACTGAATTGCCATTTAAAAAATGTCAGAAGTCAAAGTGAGTGTGTTTGAGACTCTTTCTAGAAAAATCACATTGGTTTGGGTAGAAAATTAGTTTAAATTGATTCAAATTTGAAGGAAACTGGATCAAATTTTAGAAATTCGTGATCACATAGTCTCAGCTCTTCACTTTCTTTTCAAAAGCATAATAGAGTCATTAATGTTTGCTTGTATTGTAAATCGCCTTGGTATATACCCTAACCGGGATGTGTTTTAGATGAAATTTGAAGTGACGTCATCACATGCAACAGAGTCATTTGAAACAGCTCAAACAGCTGTTTTTGTCCACATGACAAACACATATCTGGTTGTAATTTATTCATGTTGTATTTATCAATAGTATTGACCTATCGGGATGAGTCAGAATTAATTAGCTGTGTTTAGTATTAACAAATGAAAGATCTAAAATGGGAATAAATATGTGCTTGGCCAGTTTAAAACAAGTACGTTAAAACCGGCTTGTGGCCTGTACACTGATCGGCAACCAGGCCCCACGCCGGTGTTAAGCATTCTTGTTATAATACCTGCCAAACACATATTTATTCCCATTCATAAATACCTTTCAGTCTAAAAGTCAAAACAAGTCAAAATTAATAAATTTCCAACGATTTTGTTAAACAATTTTACTTCATATTTTTTAAACACTCCTCTAGCTATGTTTATGGTATTTGCCTCTCGCAAGTAGTACTACAAATCTCCTTATATGGAGATTGGCACTCGCGTTTCGCGTAATGCGCGATGTGGCGCAGAACGTGGTGGTGCCGGTGTAGTGTGAATTTAGGACCCTATGAAATATAGACCTATTGGTATTATTGCGCATGCCTAAGTGAATATCGTGAACGTTAAACCAATGAAAGGGTAAAAGGGACCAGATTTAACAGGAATCAAAATTTCATGTGACATCGGAAAAGTGGTTAAAACCGGCTGGTTGTTTATCATCAACCGTTTAAAACCGCTCACATGACAGGCTCTTGACCAGTAGGAATGGATAAACTGTGTCAAGTATTTATGAATTCCATTTAAAGTTTCTAACAATTGATCTGTTCCTCAAATTCTGAGTGAGTTTGTTTCTGTTTTGCTGCAGTTTGGGGACACAACGTCATTCATACGGTCGTGTTTTAATGGGACGCTGGTGCAAGCCAATGCGGACAATAAAAACGTAAGTGCCTACCGTCATTGCTATAACTTTCAACAGTCTTTTGTGTTTCATAAATTTCAGTGTAAATTTCCCCTCCACTACCTCGATGCTGAATTGTGACAATTATTTTTTTCATTTCAGAGACTTTATTTAATAGATATGTAGGATGTTTCTTCAATCACTGATGCAAAATTCAGGAAAATTGATATCTGATGGAATCAAGATGGCAATGGTCAAGGCTGTTGGCAAATGCTTGCCCTCTAAATTTCATCAAGTTATATTCTGTTTGCCAGAAGGTCATTTTTAAAATGATTTTTGGGAACTGAAATTGCCGAACAAGGAGCCACCTCACAGTCTTTTAATGCTGTTTGCATCCAAATGGATATATAGTTGCTTTTGACTTTGCAGTTGGTGCATTGCTGTATTTTTCGTGAATTTAGAGGATGATCTACTTTTTTTCAGAATGAAACCTTGAACTTGAAAAAGCTTTTTTCTACAAGTGTGATTTTTTTTCTTCACATAATTCAATATTTATATTTATCTTACACGTATTTTTGAAATTAATTGTTCTATTTTAGAACTAATAGTCATCAGCAATATTGTTGGTACTGTATTTTGTCCGTTTTTTGGTGTCATAGTTAGATGTTTGCAACACAGAATGGTGACCTCATGAATAAAACCCATCCAATCCCATCCAGTCCTACCAATCCATTCAAACTGGAAGTCAAGCCCTGTTTTGTTATTCATTCCACAGCTTATCAAACAGGGTCTGAAGCAGATGCCAAAGCCCCAGAAAATTGCGGACTTTGAGCTTGCCCTGGTGGAAGCGTTTGAGCTCCTCGAATCAGTGAGTAGATTGGTGGTCCGGGGTTCAGGTCCTGGTGTAGCCAAATTTGTTTGTGCTGGAAATTTAACAGCCAAGAACACAGAATTCTGCAACATCAAATTTGGACCTAGTAATGGTACAGTGTCTGATCAGGGGCCAATTTCACGGCGCTGCTTAGCACAAACATTTGCTTAGCAAAAAAAAAGGCTGGCTTATAAAAGCAGGTTACCAGCTTGTGATGTATATTGCTCGTGATTAGTATTCAGCTGTTGTTGGCTTGGCATATACATCACGTGGAGTTTTGGCTGGTAACCTGTTTTTATAAGCCAGACTTTTTTTGTGCTAAGCAAATTTTTGTGCTTAGCAGCGTTGTGAAATTGGGCCCAGATGACATTATTTTCAAGTGTCTTAATAAGCCAGTTCAGTGTCTCGATGAAGTAGTCCAGGTCAAAGGTCATTCGGGATAAAATCGCTGACGTGATGTTATGCGATATTATGCGAATGCCGTTCTGCTCGTCACTTAACAGGCGAGTGTCGTGCGCCCGTCAACCTGCAGGATGTGCTCTTCGATGAGCTTTGGATTATCCTGAATGACCCATAATCCATTGTGCGCATGCGCAGTTGAAATACCGAACTGGCTTATTGCTGGTCGTGCTTTTTGATTGTACTGAGTGAAGAACATATGCAGAGGGATAAGCTTGTAAAAAAAAAATGAAATTAAAAAATTTGGAGAGGTTGAGACTATCAAATTGCTACCTTTATGTAGCAATTATTGGCATGCAGCATGTATTATGATTCAGGACTTCCAAAAGCAGGGAAGCTTGGTTTTGTTCAAGATTTTTTGGTGGGGGTGGGATGAGGCTTTGCTGTCAATGCATGAAGAGACCAAAGGTCTGATGCTATTAATCAGACTTTTGCAATTTTGAATAATGACATTTTTCAGAAAACTGAAGGTATTTTTGTATATTCCCTTCATGTTATTAGTAAACATCGGTCAGACGGGGTTGTTTTGCCACCCAATTTGCTCCTAGCCCCCCCCCCCCCTTCTTGGATCTGCCCTTGTATAATACACTATATGCATTGTTTTTGATGCTATGAATTTACCAGCAATAGGTTTTGCTGGTTTAATCATGGCACATAGATTTGAATGAATTGCCTCATTCCTAGCCAATGCAGTATGTATGTGGTATCAAGCCGATACCGTATGGATGTGTTCAAAATTAGCTCCATAACTAATTAGCCGTTGAATTAACATTTCCTCATGGTCAGTCCACAGAAATGCAAATGTGATTCTCTATATTCTAGGCTGATTATGGAAGCATGACAATATATTCAGTATTTGCACAGATGTTTTGACATGAATTATGGACGTGGTAATAATGGTTGGAATTTTAACAAACAGTGGATTCCGAGAACGATAATTATGAATAATAGTTTCTGCCTGTTACACGCACCCTGACTTTTATTGACATTTTTTGACATTCTGTATGGAAATGAGAATAAAATCCCCCCCCCCCCAAAGAAAAATCCATTTTGAGTTTACATAATTTTCAAAACATTCTTTAATTCATTTGGAATTAATAATAACAGTGTTTGTCATAGAGTTTACAAGGAGATCTTGTTAACAAGCAAATTTTGGGAAGCACCATGGTTTAATCAGCTCAAATTCATTCCAAAAAAAAAAGAAGGCCCACAATTCTTGATAATTACACAAAATTCTGATTCAAAAGTTGACGAAAAGTTCCTCAATGTTAAGAAACAGTTTTGTTGACGTCTGTCCAGATGCTTTAAGCATTAGCTATGAGCTTGTTTCTACCTTTTAGGTTTCTACCGTTTATAACTCTTTTTGCCTTTTTAAATTTTACTTTGCTTTTACAGTTCCAAAAAAAAGTTAGAAAAGTAAGTGAGTGGTGGCTTTTGGTGCACAGGGAGCATTAACATGCATGATGGAACATCTGTTATTTTGATTAGTTTGTTTAATTTTGCACAAACATTTTTAACACTCTCTTCTCAAAAATGAAACTTTTTTTTTTTAGAGATGGTCTTCTATAAAGAGATCTTTCAGCAGGTCGATACCATAACCCATTAACATGGTTTAGGATGTCTACGTCAAGCTGTGCTTTTTAGCAAAGTGGAAAGGGGATCATTTGTAATTTAAATCCTGGTTTATTGCATGCACGGTTTTGGGGAGTACCGGTATTATTTCAGGGTGGTAGACAAGGTATGAGGATTTGTTAGCTATGGAGATGCAGTTTTGTGCATTGACCTGAACGAATTATAATAATGACTCTCGTTTGTGATGATGCTTCTGCCTCCTAGGGGACCCTTAAGGCACAAGGGAGGCAGAATCATCGCCCAGATTGACGGTAAAATTTGCAACAGAACGGATCTATTACGTGGCGACCATTGCCAACATCCATTCTGCAACCACGGCAATGCTTGTGCCTCCCTTCTGCCTCATTTGAGCCACCTTTGAGCAACCAACCTCCTCGGCGACCTTTGTGCGGCTGTTTTGAACATGTTCAAAAATTTGCGGCGACCATGGCGTCCATGGCGATGTCTGAACGTCCAGTGTACCACCTTTGAATGACCTAGGCAACCATTCGGCCTCCTTTGAGCCTCCAACGGCGACCTGGCCAGTTTAATGGTAGCACAATGGAGGCCCAAAGGTCACAGCCCTGTGTAAAGGGGTTCTAAGGAATCTTTTATTGTTAATTAAAAAAATAACATTTGTTTGTTTGGTTGGTTTTTGATTGTTCGTAGTTCAACAACACTGGATTGGGAGCTAACTGTAACCAAGCCATTATGTTGATAACAGACGGGGCCCATGAGACGTATGAGGAAGTATTTGACAAGTACAACGAAGACCGCCATGTGAGTTGTTATATGTGACTGAAAAAGTCATTTTTGCTTAAAGAAAGAATTTGTTTCCTTGATCTTAGTTCCACTTCAGTATCAGGGAAGCTTGTTAGTTTCACTTTGTTTAATTGTTGGGTACTAGGTATAAAAGTACTAAACGGCAGAAATTATGTGAAACCAAAAGGTAATTTTTGTTTTCTTCAATGAAATTATATATTACATTAAAGCCTAACTATTTCTCAATCCAATTTTTACCCCATTTAATTTGGATCCCAAGATCCAGAAATGCAATCAGTTATTGTGTGATGTCACCAATATCAGTGCCTATGCCTATTCAATGCTTAACCCAGATTCAGCATGTCCAGGTGAGAGTGGCCCAAGTCAAATTGACACCCGTTCACTTAATTGATCGTATTTCTGGATCTAGGGACCCAAATGGAATGGGGTAAAAAGGAGTGGATTGAGAAATAGTCAGGCTTTAATGTAATATCGTTTTATTGAAGAAAAAAACATTAACAAGTTTTAATGTTGCACTTTTTTGGGGCACACTCTTATGACAAAAGTGCAAGGAAACCATGAGAGATGAACGTGATTCAAACCGACTTTTGTTTCACCAAAAACAGTTTGTTAGCTACAAATTAAAAACCTTCCAGATTGTAAAACTACAAAGACAATTCATCAGTCAGTGAATTCATCATGCATCAAATCTGTTAATTTGATGTAAACATTAAAAACAAAAATGCAGAACGATTTTTTTTATCAACATTTCCTGATGATATCTATTGCCAGGTGCGTGTGTTCACATATCTGATTGGTGCTGACATTAAGGATGACCCCAACGTAAAGTGGATGAGCTGCAACAACAAAGGTAATACAGACTTCATTGCGATACCTCTGTAGCACCTGAAGCACCTGTTCTACATTGTATTACATTGTATTTATTCTGTAATAAACCCTTAAAACCTGACTGGGTTGATTATAACATGGTTTTAAAGGTACAGTCCATCATTTGCAATTTGTGCATTATGTTCGTTTGAAGCAACAAACATGCTCAAAATCTAAAGAAGGGTGCTTAACAACTAACCTGATGAAGTTTCAGCTCAGCTTCAGCTGTGTGTTCCGAGAAAAAGAACATTCTAGGATCTCGATTTCAAACCAAAAGTTGCTGAATCATGTTTTGAATTGGGCCTGAATTCAGCGTCTGAGACACGTTCTCACTGAGCCAATTGTAGCTACGTGATGTCGCGCACTGATCCGACAAATTATAGCAACCGCGCGCGCATGTGCGTCGTGTCAACACTTGTACACGCTTCACTGAATAAAAAAATGAACTACTAACAGAAATGTCCAACCGTTGGAGAGGCCTTCTTTCATTGATTTCTTCAAAATTACAGCTTGCCAGAAAGAATAATTTCACAGGAAGTTTAGTCCCCTTTCTATCTTTCAACCAAGTATGTTTTTCAACAATAATTACGTCAGTTACTTTTTGGATAGCTGCAAATGAATGGCTGTAGCTTTAAGTGGTACAGGCAGGCCCGAATTAAGTGTTTTGCAGGCCCTAGGCACCAGTGTTCCGTAGGCCCTACTCCTCCCTAGGCACCGGCACCAATATCATGTTGATAATAACCCCAAAATTTCATGCTAATTATGATCAACATTTTGTGCTAACTGTGCTAGCAGAAAAATTCTGCGCTAACCCTGTAAGCACAGAATCCTTAGTTATGGGAAGGATGCATGCGCAGAAGCTGAAACCCCTCATTAACCAATGAAATACGCTTACAGTAAGCACAACATTTTCTGCTACAGTGAGCAGGTTTATTTTGGCTAGCGGTGAGCGGGGGGGGGGGGGGGGGGGGGGGGGGGGGGATATCCTGCCCATTCCCCCATCTTACCTCCCCCTCGGGATTTACACCTTTGTCATGGATAATTCCTGAATTTTTTTAACCCAAACGTTTTCTCATGTTTGCTTGACAGGATACTACACAAGGATTGGTGCTTTTGCCGATGTGGAGGAAAATGCCTCGGTAAGTTCTCAGACGTACTTCAGTAATCAGAGGCTGCAGAATGCAGGAGAACTTCAGAGTAAAAAATGAGAAAAACAAAGTGCAGGACCTTAGAAAGGTATTATTATGTGGCATCCTCACTATCAGGCCATACATTTAAGAGTGGGCCAACTACAACAAGTTCTTTTTTTGCATCATGGCTTTGGAAGCACTCTATATTTTGTATTGAAATGTCCATCAGTGTTTAGTGTCAGTGTTTCATTTAAGACATGTGTATCTACATAGTTCCATATGCAAACGATCAAGGAAGACAGGCAATTTTTTTATTCTTTGAGCATGGCAGAGAAAGATACTGTTTAAGCCTGGGAGTTGCTTTGCAATTTCCAGCAGTTAGCATTTCAACAAAATAGCCGTTTCCTCGCATAACCATTACTCAACAAAGCATCTTGGTAAGGCATTGAAAGAAGTATTTGAAAAGAAGAGCTGATGAATTCAAATTGTAAGAGTCTTGAGATAGCATTCCGCAATCTCAAGATGTCATTACACGTCTCAGATTAGGTTTTCTTATTCCCCAAGGCAATTTATTTGTTCTTCCTCTTCAGGACATTTCTTATTCTTCGATGGCTTTTATCTTCTCTCTTCATTGTCATTTTTGTTAAGAAGCCGTCATCGTTTGAAAGTGTCGGGTCTTTTTTTGGTTTCTTTTGGACGGCTTTGTGCATTTGCCAGGGGCACTTTCAATAGACGCTTCACAGAAATACTTTCAGTTCACATTATATTTTCCCTGGGGTTCCTTCCTCGACTGTTCACGGTCAAAAAAGTCCCGTTTATTATTAGCTTGTGCAGCAGGGGAAAACAACATCCACGTCAGAAATCAAGTGACTGAGTGTGTTTTGTTGAATTGCCAGGCCTCCGATTTTAAGAGGATTGCTTTGCACAATTGTAGCCATTCTTAACATAATCAAAGACACAAATGAAGATGGCTGGTTATTTACTGCAATTGATAAATCTCCGAGCGGCGGTAATTTCTCGCAAGGACCACACAGAATAATGGAAAATCTTGCAAGATGTGAGGGGGTGGGGGAAGAAGAAAAGAGGCTGATATATAATTGGCTATTCCCCCGAGAATGCCACGCTGAGTGATTTTAAAAACAAGTCTTGCGTCTCATGGCAGCCACTGTGTCTAGCGTTGGATTCCAATATTCGCAGGGTAGGTTATTGGCTACCCCCAGGTGATCCTTTCAATGAAGCTGTGTGGTAATTTGCTGAATCCCATTCATAGGAAAACAAGGAATATCACATTGATATAACTTGCCAATATGACACATGTTTCGAGTAAGAAAGACAAGGTCATGTCTGGTGTATGAATGTTTCAAGCATCTAATGAATGTTGCAATATAAATATACTGTGTACTGCAGCTGCGGTAGTTGGATTTGACATCCCGCAGCCGCAAATAGTCCTTCACATTGGTCTTCGGCCACCTGGTCTTGTCGTAGGCGAGTTGCCGTAGGCAATGGAGTTGTCTCACGGTGCGGAGGGGTCCGAGTCCAGCCCGTTTGAGGTCAGCACATATTGTGCCCAGTAGATTTATGCAATGCCGTCCTGGTCTGGGTTTGTAGGCTTGAGAGCCAGTAACGGCAAAGTCTAAGGCCCTCTGAGCGGGTGTGTTAGGGTCCGTATGTAGGACATGGCCTAACATTCAGGCACAACATGGGAGCAAATTGTCTTATGTTTTCATTGAGACTTGAACATACATGAAAAAAAATTTTCAGCAGAGCCAAGTAGTGTACAGACTTTGTTCAAAAATCTCTGGCAAGTTATTTAAGAACAAAGATTGAGGTGAAATTTTAGATTAAAAAAAGAATTAAACAAACGGAAATGTAAAACAATGAAGCAATTTATTCATTCTGCTCTGTTTGTTTTTAATTACTGCAAAGTGTTTACATATTTCCATGATGGTCTCTTCATAAGTGCACTTTTGTCTTCAACAATGCCTTCTTTTTTTTTTCCTAATCTTCATTGGACAGAAATACATTCATGTGCTGAGCCGTCCAATGGTCATCGAGCAGGACCACATCACCGTCTGGACCAACGTCTACATGGACACCTTGGTAAATGAGGTTGCTTTATCGTTTGCAGTTTTAACCCAGAGTCCAGGCATTGCAGTGCGGCTTCTTATAGAAATAACAACAACGAATTGAAGTAAACAAACAAACAAAGAAAACAAAGCAAAACCCTGAAACCTGACATATGCAAGGACGGAAATTTCAGGTTGTTGAAGTTGTACATTTTTCTGTTTTAAAATGAAACATACATTTTTGCAATATTTCGTTATCCTGAAATCATTTAAAATATCAAAAGGGAAAAATGTGTTTAGCCAAAGCTGAACTTGCTACTAATGGCAGACGTTTTTGTATGTTTATACATATGAGCTAAACCAAATGTTTGGAGTCTTGTATGCGAGCGGTGGCTCAAAATAGATTACTACATTTGGAGCACATGGCATTATCCCATTTGAAAGTGGTCTCTAACAGTAAACAAATAATGAGCTGTCAAACTTTAACATGTGTGCACTTTGAATATTCACCTCGGGAAGATGCGAAGCAAAACATGAGTCAAGCCGTCACATGTTCTCAAATCACGAGTCAATCACAAGTCATCTTGTCTCAAGTCAAGTCACAAGCTGTACAGGGTGAGTCCAAAAAAGCGGAAGCCAAACCCCCAAAATTATATTTCATATTTTAAAAAATGTGTAGCGCCAAGAATAATAATGACTGGAAAGTCAATTTCATCAGCTACTTTTAGATGAAATAATTACTGAAATTGCTCAATCCGTTCAAAGAATATCACCATTTAAAGACAATGACCCTAAAACCCACTATTATCCCACTTATCTTATAAAAATCACTTTGTGCCAGGAAACGTTTCCTTGACTGAGGAGTGATTTTTTTTTTTTTATCGCTGAGCTAGAAATTGATCTGAATTGACATGGTGCCCTGCAAATTTACCTCTCTTCAATAAAACTTCCAACTTTGGATGTGATTATAGCCACACTGCAATGCCTGCGAGTCTGGGGGGAAAAATCTAATTGATGTTCTGTCAATATTTCATGAAATGTATCCTGTTTCTAGTTAACTGTATTCATCAGCACATCTATCTATATTGCACCTAAAATGAATGCCAGAAATCTCTAACTCTCTTATTATCTGTTTCTCATTTTGTGACATAAAGCAAAGAAAAAAGTTCAATTTATGGATCATTTCAAGGCAGTCTTGAAAAAGAAAATCAGTTTTCAATATTTTAGTCTGGAACTGCTGATTAAAGTGCTATTTGTTGACAAAAACAGACTTGTATCTAGTCAGTTGGTTGTTTCTCTCTAAATACCTAAATGAAACCCTTTTACCAGACTTTTGTTTATTAATTGGAATATTTCCACAGTTGTTGGCGGTAAGTATGGACAAATCAGCTTTATGTTTATGCATGCAAGCATTGTGATAGATACAATATTATTGGCATCTTCATGATTAGAGTGACTTGTTTGAGTTTACCGAAGGTAAACGAGTTATGTGTCGAGTTATGAGTAACATGAGTTACGAGTGGGAAACTCGTCCAGTTCCTTTGCTGAGTGAGGAAAACTGATCCAGCTAGATCACAAAGTTGTGCCACAATTCCGCAGCAATCTTCATGTTTGTGACCAATGCTGCGGTGATGTCATAGGCTTGCTTCTTACTGGCCAACACACATTAATTATTTGACAGTCCGAAACTTTTTTACAAAGGGAACTTTCAAGGCAAAGTTAACTGACAATTCCATCTGTACTTGACTGCAGTAGCACATTCTTTTCCTGTCGCTGTATTTGAACACATATTACTCTTGTTAGGCCCAAAAAAAATATTTGGTCTCGGGTCAGACCAAAGTTCCGGAATTGACGTGGGGACGCGGATTTTTTTTTTTTTTTTCTTTTTTTTTTTTTTTTTCAAGCTTGGATTGTTCAGACAAGGTGGGGTACTATTTTGCTTTTTTTGGTGTCCTCCTGTACACTGGTGTCCTCCATAATTTGCCTTGGTGCTATCGATCATTTGCCTTGGTGCAATTTCCCATTCCTTGGTGCTCTTTGGTAAAAAAAATTGAGGAGGTGCGGCAATAGAGGGCGCTGTTGGAGCTACCGCAGAACATTTTGGGAAAAAAAGAAGATTGACGCGCATGATTAAAATCGACGCGCGCGCTGACCAGAGACCGACTTTTTTTTTTTTTTTTTGGCCTTAATCACATTTCAATCAATCCAAGCAATTTTACTGTGATTTTTGTTTTGGTGAGGGGACTTTTTTTACAAGGGAAACTTTCAAGGCAAAGTTAGCTGACGATTCTGTCTGTACTTGACTGCATAGCACATTCTTTTCCTGTCATTCTAGTTGAACACATTTCAACTCTAGTTTATCACATTTCAATCCAAGCAATTTCATGTAAATTTTTGGTGACATCATATGTGCTTTGTTTTCTTACGAAATGTGGACCATCCTTTAGTCAGTGATGAATGGTTGATTAGGGGCATATAACTACCGAGGAGATATTTAATGTCTCTGTGTACATGTATGCTTTGATGAGATTGTAGTTGTAGATTTTTAGTTCTTTGATGTGATATCCTTCAGACCGGAGTTTGGTCAGTCGCCACAGACCTTTGCCATTTATGTGTCGAGTTGTAACTTATCTGCTTTTAGCAGATTATAAGTTGTTGAATTAGAAGGATTTATTGCGTAGAATTTCATTCAAATTTATGTTTTTGTAGTTAAATCACAAGTCATCTTTTCCTGTTTATAGCTCTTGTCTGTGCTGATTGAGTTCTTATTTCTTCAATGATTTCTCTACTCTTTTCTATTTTCTACTTTTTAGTTTCATTGAAAAGAATTACTTTTTTTGGTAGATCAATCACTAGACATCTTGTCCTTGTTCATATAGCTCTTGTCTGTGCTGCGTAGTTATGATTCTTTAGTTATAATTCTCATTCCTTTACTCTGTTCTATTTCCTACTGTTCTGCAACGTTTAGTTAGAAATGCTGGCTCTGCAAGTTTTGATTGCAGAAACTTGATGTGATATATGATATATCAAGCATTTTATTACAATTTAGATTTCAGTTTTAGTGTGTGTAGTTTAGACAGATTATTTAAATTCTTGTGTTAGATTTTGCATTGAATGCTGTGAGAGAGCCCTCTTTTATTGAGCCGCTAACCAGAAAATATTGCTTAGCAGACTTGGTGGTAAGCAGAAACAAGTGAACTGAAAAGGGGTAAAAAGCAAATAAATGGCGTGTAAATTGTTTAGCTGGTAAAATATATTCATGAGTGTCGCAAGGGGGGTACTGCCCCCCCCCCCAGGAAAACGGGGAAAAAAAAGGAAAAAGGAAAAAAAAGAGGTGCAAAGCCATATTGCTGTTAATTTGATGGGGGGGGGGGGAAGGGCAAATGCTCCCCTTGCTCACACTCGGAAAAATGATAAATTGAGAATATAATGAAAAAGTTAAGGAATTTTGGGGAAAAATTTGCTTTGCCCCCCCCCCCCCCTGGAAAAAATCCTGGCGACGCCCATAAATGCATTTTTCTGCACTTAATGAGTTCCAAGAAATTTGCTTCTTTTATTATTCTTGGGTTTTGTTGGGGGGGGGAGGGCAATTTTTTATTTTTTTTTGCTCAAGTAGATAAAATATACTTAGAGTGTATGGCCTGAGTGTGGATTTTTGATTTCTGATACTTCTTGCAGCAGTTAATTTGACTTTTTTTCTTATGATTTGTGTGCAATAATCTGGTAAAATCTACCTATGTGTGAATTGAGTTGTAGATACTTGAATTCATTTCAGTGTATTTTTTCTCTTTATCCTCAACCAACTTATGTTTATTATTGTTTAAGCTGAATGAGATCAGTTTTTGCATTTTGTTTAAGTTCCATTTTTTTAACATTCAATCATTTATACCAATTTTGCTGTGATAATGTACATCTTTATCAATTTGTTCTTTTGTAAATTCTTTGAAATGTAACAAATAGAATGTTTATATTGCACGCAAGAGAGACAACGAATTATTCACATCGATTTAAAAACAAAACGGGTAAGAAATGAAATACTAATTCAGTTATTTGTTTTTCTTGACAAAGGGTTTGCAACTGATGACAACAGTCTCACAGCCCGTCTTCAACAAGAAAGAAAGCAATGTAAGAACCAATAAAAGTGTTAGATTGGCAACATAATCATGTCCTTGCCAGGCAGAGCCTGGAATGGAAATGCAAAAGTGAATTGTTTAAAAAATTTTGCAAATGTGTGTTCCTAAATGTGTACCATTAAAGTCGTTTTGGTGTTTGTGTGTGTGTGGGGGGGGGGGGGATTTCAGGGACTTTAACAGCCAATTTTTCTGCTTTGCAATGGTCTGCTTGGGATCATCAAGGATCCTCAGATCCTTTCACCAAATTGTGAATGCATCCAAACAAAATTCAAGCAAACTATTAGTAAAATACTTCTAAGATGAACCTTTTTATGCGGTAGTCAAAGATAGAACAGTTTCATGCAGTAGTCAAAGATAGGACAACCTTTTGTGAAAGTACCCCCCCCCCCATCCCCACCTCCCCCTCCACTCGGTCTCCAACTTGGATTGATGGCACTGATCAGTGTGGGAGCATTTACAATTATTTGCAATTATTTCACTCAGTTTCGCTCTTTTTCATTGGCTTTGAAAGCTGTTTGTCTTTCTAATTTCTTCCAGAGGGAGCAGGGTATCTTGTTGGGAGTGGCTGGCGTTGATGTGCCTGTTAAAGAACTTCTGAAGTTAACACCAGCATACAAGGTCAGTAGTCTCCATCCTATGGTGTATCTGATCTTATTCCATAACTTAGAAAGTTTTCCTTTTGAACAAGAGCAGTTTGGTAGAATGTTGTTTTCTTTTCCAAACTTGAGGCAAATCAAGATAATTTATTCTGGATATTCCAGGTTTTCATGGATATGTCTACACTCTAAAACTTTGTCAAAATCTGGAAACCACCTTTGTATGAAAGACAAAGGAACTGAGAGGGTTTTAGGTAACTCTTCATTTTAGAAAAAGGAAAGTTGAACACATGTCACCAACTACAGCAAAATTTCATCATAAAGTTTTCTTGACATTAAATTTGCTTCGCATTCGCATTCAAGTGAAGCATGAATCAGTCTTTATTCCCTAAATTCACAGCCAGTGAATTGAGATTTTGATTTTGCTAAACTCGAAAAGCCAGCCACTTGTCCCTGTAATGACTGAGAGACTGACTGACTGATTGACTGACTTCCTCCCCGCAAATACAAATGCAAGCAAAGCTGACATTGGCATTATTTACGGCAAGGTTTAAGACAAGATAAGTTTGCGGTAGCACCATGTGAATGAATCTCGTTTGTGAGTATGTGTGGTTCTGAAAAGAACCGGAGGGACTCAAGGTTTCGAACAGTATGCTCTGCCCATCATCAGGAGAATGAGGGATTCCAACGATGATGCGATGTTATAAGGATGGGTGCGGTGAGGCGTGAGAAGGATGCGTTCGAAACGTTGAGCCCCTCCGGTTCGTTTCAGAACCACACATACTCACAAAAGAGATTCATTCACATGGTGCTACCGCAAACTTATCTTGTCTTAGTATCTTTCCACCATGCAAACCTTCAAATCTCATCTTGTGGCAAGGTTTACCGAGTTGAAATGTGAGTCATACAGTACATGGAAGTCCATTCCAAGTTTTGTTCCTTACGTTTTTCTTCTTTTCTTTTTTTAACGCAGCTTGGTGTGAATGGCTACCCGTTTGCCATCACCAATAATGGCTACATTCTATACCATCCTGACCTCCGACCTCGGGATGAGAATGGTGAACTCAAGCCAAACTACAACAGTGTGGATTTGGCTGAGGTGGAACTATCAGACATTGATGAACAGGTGAGATTGTGGTAGAGGATAAATTCTTAGTTAAAATTTCATAAACTGTAAGTTAAAATTTGATGAATTATAAGACAAAAATATATCAGTCTTGGATCGAGCTGCTTATCAAATCTTCAGTGTCCATTAGAGACGATGAGCTATCTAAACAGATTTGGTGTTATACTGTAATGTGCTTGCACCCAAACAGTCTTCACAATTATAGCTATCAGCAAAAGTGTACAGTACGTTTACAACTGCCGTACTATGGAAATAATTCTGTGTTGAGGACATTTTCAAGACACAGTTCCTGTTCCAGAATCTGGATAAAAAAATCAAGGACTTGGAAATTGCCCTGTTAATTTGAATTCGATGCTGTGTTTAGTTTTAAAGTTTTGTAGATTCTTGGTCAGTATTTTAGTTTTGATCGCTTTGATTAACAACCATTTAATTTCATTGCACAGTGCATATTAACAAGGCGGCTTATTTTCTGCAGTGGCACCATCACTCCACGTTTACTTTCGTTCATTTATGCAAATTTCTTTTTATTCATTTATCATCCTGGGTTTGGTTAGAAGAAAAATCAATTTTTTTTCCCTCAGTTTTGGGATCGATAGGGTTGTTAAATATTTCACCATCCTAAACATTGGAAAAGGGAAACTGCAAAATAAAGTCAACAATTTTGTCTGGGACACTGGTGCTTTACAAACAATCAGTCGCCAACAAAATGAGGACATTGATTCTTTTGTATAAATATTTGTACAAAAACGTCCTTATAAAAACCTGCGAGACAGAAGCTCATCTTTCATTCATTTTGTGATTTCAGAAATGTTGTCCAAACAGATGAATCTGACATGCATTAAGACAAATTGCTCTACTAATAAGGAGGATATGGATTTCGTGTTGACTGAAAATATGGCTCAATTTTATTACTATCCTAGAGTGAAACCCTTGGCAATGACAGCAGCCGCTAGTGAAACCTACTTTTATCAAAGAGTTATGAATGGAAGAATTGGGGAATAACCCTCTAGTGTAATAAACGTATGTGCTATTGAAGTGTATGGCGGATGGAAGCAGCAGATTTTAGCAATGTTGGCTGAGATATAGCTCTCCCATTTGATCAATTCGATATTTTGGTCTTTTGGGTTTTTAAGGCTTTTTAAACTACAGGGCGAGTCAAAAAAGCTGAACCCAAAAACAAAGTAATATATTTCATATAAAAAAAAACTATGTAGCACCAAAATTAATTATGACTTGGAAGCCCATTTATTAAACCACTTTTAAGTGAGAAAATTATTTCAATTGCTCTACACGTTTAAATTTTATCACTATTTAAACGAAGTAACCCTAACATCGGTTTCATTCAAAAAAAGCAATTTATTGTGTGTTCTGACTGTTTGGAACAACATGGAAAACGACACAGAATACTTTTTTTAACAACTGTAGTGCACAATATCTTTATTTACAACCCTGCTTTGGCTAATAATATGATTTATAAAATTCACTTTTTTTTTAAGACTGGCCTTCAAAAGGTTTTTGTTGAATATTTTTAACTTTTAAACTGAGATTTTATCGCTGGTGATGTTTGAAGACAATTATAACCACAATTCTTGAAATCGCATTTTTTGGACGAAACAGATTTTAGGGTCATTTCGTTTAAAAAGGTGATATAATATGAACGGATTGAGCAATTAAGGTAATTCTTTTCATCTAAAAGTAGTTTATTAAATTGTCTTACCTGTCATTATATTTTTGGTGCTATATATTTCTTTGGGTTTGGGTGCCGCTTTTGTTTTCTCACCCTGTATCATCACAAGGGGATCATGCACATTATCAAGCTAGATGCACTCATGCTCACTATCTTGTCTGTTGTACATGTACATGTACTTGTTTAATTCACACGTGTGCCTTATCATTTCTTTTGTTTTTCTTCTGCTTATAATCATGATCATCATCATCTTCATCCTTAACATCATCAGGAGTATGAACGAACGTCTCTAGAACTAGTTCAGAATAAGGTGACGGTATCTGCACAGGTGTCCCCCAACCCCCTCACCCATCACGGACTCTTTCAAGACCCCCCACTTTCGAACCCCGTCATGTCCTCCGTTGACCCCACCATTCAATTTAATTTTCTTGAAAAAAAATGTTTGATCTTTTGGAAACAAAGTATGCAGTGTTTTTTTTAGCAACAAGGTGTTACTTATAGCACTTCATAAATATTTGAACAGATCAGAGAAGTGTGGTTCCCTCAGAAAACTACTTTGCAAAGTTGCTAGTTTCATAAATTCAAAAATTTACTTTGTTTTGGCATACACCATGGAATTTTAGCCCTTTCTAAAATAAGTTTTAGCAAATTCTTGTTTAACTTACTTCTGTGCAAGGAAGGGTAAGAAACAGTTTAAAACTAGTCAAAAACAGACACTGCACAATTTGTTTCTTGAAAGATCAGAATTTTTTCAACTATACTCTTTTCCGTGCACAAATATATCAATATATACCACTGCCCAAAGTCATCGGGAAAAACCCTCACACTAAGTTTTGTAACTTCAGGTAACAAATTAACCCCCACCAGTGAAACCACAGCCAAAACCACTTTCCTGAATGATCGTCTCCGACCGACCCCAATCCCCATTTTATTAAACACGTGAACTGTAACCTTTGAACTTTGACATGAACCTTGATCTTGCATCGTCACAGCCTGCCTCCTTAACCAGTAACATAATCTCTGCATCTTGAAAAATAAAAAGGTTGCATTTTCTCTTCAGTTGGTGTTCAGAGATTGCAAGGAAACGATGAAACCATTAAGAGAATTTGATAATGCTGTTGCCACTGTATTTAGTTGAATAAAAGATCTATTTATTAGTTCTTTTCTGAACCAACATTTCACTCTTGCACTTGGCTGAACGGTGTTTCAGGATTTCTGCTAGAAACCAATTTTTTTTATCTTTTCCTTAAAACCTCTGACACCAATTCAGGAATATAGGCCTTTTCACACAAAGGTATTTCCAACCAACATCTGCACTAATAAGGTTGGGAAACTAATCAGCATTGGTTGGAAAGACCTTACTGTCCAAAGGCCCATATTGGAAGTTTCAATTGATGGTTACGCTATCAATATTATTGAAAACATCTAATGAATTATACGATATTACAATGAAATGCCCCTGATAAAAATTCCAGTTGACACAAGTTCAACTGGTTTCAACAAGTACCCATCGAACTGGAAATTTCAAGTTGTGACTGGGTTGGAACTGTTTTAACTAGTTTTGAACTGGTATGAACTGGTTTTGAACTGGTACCGGTAAGAACTGGTTTTGAACTGATATAGGTGGTTTTGAACTAGTTATATCAGTTCAATCAGTCAGTTCAAACCAGCAACCAAACTCGAGTTGAGATAGTTTCAACTGGAATTTTCACCTGGGCACTGTCATTTTATTGACTCAAATTGGAAAGAGATTTCAAGATTACAATGATGTGATTGCAAATTTTGCATGACTAATAATCACACATTCCTTCCTCCAATTCACCAGCACCCAATTACATGGAACTGTGCAATTATAAAATACTGCTTAAAAAACTTCTGTGCTAAGCAGAAATCAGCGGAGAACCAGTTGCAAGCAACAGACATTGCATGACACTTTGACTGGTTACCTGTTTTTGCTTAGTAAATACTTTTATGGTTACCAGCTTTCTGTGCTCAGCAGATCCATGAAATTGTCCCTTATCTTCAGCATGCTGGCATTTTTAGAAGAGTTTATTTCCAAAACGCGACATATCCATTTAAAAACGGTGAAAAATTTGAAACTTTAAAGAAAAAAACCGGTATAACAGCTGTCTTAAATTCATTTTTTGCTTTGTTGTATTCTTAAGTTGTGTTGAAGTATATAAAACAGCTGTCGAAATTGGTTTTGGCAGGATTCTAAAAACGGAGCAAAATGGCTGATATTGCTGTTTTGAAATAAACTCTTCAATAAATTCTTGGCTGTTTCAATTACATTTTAGGAAACAGTTGGTATAAGTATATTCCTAATCCTTGTTTCCAATTTTAACACATTTTCTCTTTATGGCATGTGCAGCGAAACACAGAATCCTTCAAAAAATTCCAATTCAGTTTTCCAATTGCAGCCTAGCGCAAGTCTAATTGGATTGAATTGGTCATGTTGTCCATGATACACACCATGCATGGTTGCCATGGTTTCATATCAAACATTATTGTGTATTTTCCTGACACTAGATGGCGTCATTGTGCCTAGTGCAGGCTAGTGCAAGTCTAATTGGATTGAATTGGTCATGTTGTCCATGATGCACATCATGCACAGTTGCCATGGTTTCACATCAACCATCTGTGTACTTTCCTGACACTAGATGGCGTCATTGTGCATGGAGCGAATGCTGGGATGAACTGCACTCATCAACTAACCAAACTAACTGTGTCAATTAACAAAAATTGTGTCACTCACTAACGCAACGTGAGATGGCACAAAATGTATTTGATGAAACTGATACTTTGTTAACCATTAACTGTAACCCTTTAAGTATTTTTTTAAGAACCCTCCTGGTTCTTCCAAAATTCATCACTATATGCAGGAAACATATGTCACGTTCTTTGTTCTTATTTTAAAGGTAGAGTGGACTATTTGCATCTAAAATGACCAACCAAAATACTGTTAAAAAGCATACTTGGTTTGAGGATAGTACTAACACTAATCTCCCTGTGGAATTACTCCTTCTGGAATGCTGTCATTTTGAAGAAAATGATAAAAGAAGGTCATTTGCAAAAATGTGTCAAGAAATTTCCGTTAGTAGTTGGTTTGTAATTGGGCTTGAATGGGTGCGCGCACAAGTGTTGACATGACGCGCACGTGCGCGCAGTTGCTATTATTCGTCGGTTCAGTGTGTGACAGTTGTTATTATTCGTCAGTTCAGTGTGTGACATCTTCAATCGGCTGAATGAGAATGTGTCCCGGAGGATGATTTTGGGTACAGTTAAAAATACGACTCGGCAATCCTAGAATATTTTTTTCTTGGAATGTACAGCATTCACTGAGCTAAAAGTTCATCAGGCTGGTTGTTTAAGTACCGTTCTTAAGATTTGAGCACTTTCGTTGCTTCAAATGAAACAAAAAATGCACAACTTACGAATGGTCCACTCTGCCTTTAAGGAACACTATGTAATAGGTAATAGCCCCATTTGGCTTGCCTTTACCTTGTAAGTCCTGCAAAAATCTCTAAAACTTCCTGTTGGATTTTGAAGAATCTGGAAGTGTTCAAAGAGTTACTGTTCTAACAACTAACTCTGTAACAAATAAGACCATCAAAGCACTGCGTGGTGCTAAGTCAATGAGATAATTCTCCTCTTTATGGAGGGAAGGATTGCTTTAACCAGTTACTATCATTGTTAAATATACTATGCACATTTTAAAACTGGTAAAATGGATACAGCAAAATGTTAAGTACACAGGTCGACCCTTCCCTAGAAAAACCTTCCCCCCCCCACCCCCCACCCCCCCCCACCCCCGCATCGTGCACCTCTGTACTGCTGTTTAAGCACTGTACTGAAATGTCGAAATGACCACGAATATTAAATTTAAGACGAAAACAAATTCTTGACTGTAGGCCTATATTTGTACATGCATGATTCAACAGTATGGCCCTTAAATGCCTTTTTAAAAAAATATCAAAAAATGGGTTATTTGAGATTAGTATCACCAGGACTGTGAACATAAAATAAGGTAACTTGTATTTAAAATAAGGGAAAAAAGAACAAAAAACCTTTAACATCCACAACTTTCTTGAAAACATACAATGCAGAATACTCATATTGCATAAATTTCCCACATTTATTATCATGTGACCCTGACCCAGTTGTACACAATTCTCATGCCAGCAGTTTTTAAAATTGCTTCCTCTGTCCCTGTCCTATATTACATTTCATATTTGTATAAATTGACCTGGTTTTAATGACTATTGCGGACTGGCCCCACATACGTGAGCTCTATTTAGATCAGTTGGAATATGCTTTTCACAATTACTCTTTTTCCTGTCTTAACTTTCACATTATATTTTGGAATACTCAGAGTGACATTTTAATCGAATCAGAGAATCAAAGGCAATATAGAAATAATCGCTTATGCATATTATCCTTAAGGTGACTATTTAAAGGCCAAGTAAAAAAAATGGTTTCTGGTCCGGGCTTTTTGAAAAAAAGAAGGAGGAGGCACTTTCTTCCCCAAAATGGCAGACGGATTTTTCCATTTTCTTGACTTTTTTGCTGATATAATGTGTCTGAAGGATCCATTACCTTTTCTAGCAGATGTTGAACTTGCATACATGGCAACAATTTTGCCGGAAACAAATAAAAGACAAAGTCTTTTACAAATATATGATTAAAAAAAGGGGGAGGGAGGAGGCAGGCGGGATTTTTTTTTAGAACTTTCTGTAAAAAAAGGGCATGCATCGTCTAGGAATGCTCACTAAGTGTATTTTGTATTATATCATAACATTGCATAAGAATTAATATTTTATCGTTATATTCCATCTGGAATGTCATCACCCATCGACCTGTCCCTTCCCTGTGCAAAAAAAGTGCAACATTCAGAAAACAAGTAATTAAAACTGTTTACTTTTTATTTCTTCAATGAAATAATTACATTAAAGCCTGACTATTTCTCAATCCACTTCTTTTTACCCCATTCCATTTGTGTCCCTAGATCCAGAAATACAATCAATTAAGAGAAAGGGTGTAAATTTTACTTGGGCCACTCTCACCTGGACATGCTAAAATCTGGGTTAAGCATTGAATAGGTATTGAAGTTGGTGACATCACAGTTTGAGAGTGGCCCAAGTAAAATTTACACCCTTTCACTTAATTGATTGTATTTCTGGATCTATAGGGATCCAAATGGAATGGGGTAAAAAGGACTGGATTGAGAAATAGTCAAGCTTTAATGTAATATATATTTTCATCGAAGAAAAAAAACGTTTAACAGTTTTCCTTATTTGTTTTCTGAATGTTGCACACTTTTTTTGGCAAACTGTGTACATTGAGAATGTTAATCAAACATTTCAAGATTGATGTGCATGTGCATTTTGTTCCACCTTACCTTTGTAAAATTAAACAAACTCTCTTAACGCTTGGATCGAGGAATGAAGTTGATTGATGTTTGTTCACTTGTCATAAACTGAAGAGCTTGCAGCAGTTTTTGATTAACTTTCCTGTGTTTTTGTTAAACAGCTTCGTACAGCAATGGTGGACAGGGAAACGGGATACATGAATATGACAGTCAGAATGCACTCCAAAGACATGGTAACACAATATTTCTTACTGATAAAAGTCATGCTTTCACACCCTGTTCAAATAGATTTTGATCCGAGTTGCACATTTTTTATATTAATGTTTACTTTTCATCTCATGAGTTGACATTTGTATCCAAGGAAATAGAAATGTCATTTCATGTACATAGTACAATTTCAAACATGTTTACATAATTTGGTTTTGGGATTCCCAGCTGAATCAGACTCAAAGCGGCCAGTTGACCCTGGCAAAATTGGTGGTCGAGTGGTAAGACGTCTGCATTACAAAGCAAGGGGTTGTGGGTTCGAGTCCCACTCGAGTAAGCTTGTGAGTTTTTTCTCGCAAAACCTTGGACAACACTGAGTATACAGTATTTACAGCATGTCCCAAAATACCCGCAACTTTTTTTGCGAGGCTCTAGCGTCAGTGCAGAAACACGTACCATTATTTTTACACCATTTTAAAGCTTGGAATCTGAACTTTATCCCTGGCGAGTATTGGTTTGATATTTAAAAGAGTTTTAAAATTATTCGTATTCAAATAAAGGCATGTCGAAAACAAACTCAACCGATTTCAAGGAAAATTGTGATGCAATACAACAGATGCAATCTCAAGTCAACAAGCTGTTGAAATAACAACCAGTTGAAAAAGAACCAGTTGATTTATACTAAAAACACATTGAACTTGAAACAAAGAACAATATTGTGAATTTATTTAAGGTGTAGTCTATGTGGATCGAAAAGAAAAGAAAACACAGAAAGTAAAAGGCAATGAGATTGTAGCATCATGAACATGATGAAGCATTTCCTCCGAAAAAAATGTGCATGATTGATTTTCCTTGAAATCGGTTGAATTTGTTTTCGAGACATGCCTTTATTTGAACACATATAATTTCAAAACCATTTGAAAAATGAAACCAATACTTACCAGGGATAAAGTTCAGATTCCAAGCTTTAAAATGATGTAAACATAATGGCAATACGTGTTTCCACGGCGACGCTAGAGCCTCACCAAAAAATGTTGTGGGTGTTTTGGGACGCGCTGTGTAGAAATACTTTGGCGAGGGGCAAAACCCAGTATAAAATTAAGAAATAAAGAGTTAACAAATCAGTAATACCAAAAAAAACCAAATATATGAATTTCCACTAAACGAGAAAATTGAACGTATCTGAAATTAGCGCATTGTCAAGATCTTTGAAAAATGGATATCTGCACAAATGTACATCCAAGAGTATTTGTAATATTTGAATACTTCAAATTGCTCTTTTTATTTCGAGTGTGACTTTAGGCAACGCATCACACAAGTCCTTTAAATGCACAGACAATTCTGCGCATGAGTCGGTGACCGTCACGGTGAGACAGACAGACCTGGTTGTGTACCTAGTAAAGAAAGAAACAAACCTGCTGTCTTGCAACTTCTGTTCCTAAAAATAGCGCATCTCGATGAAATAGGTCATGCTCACACCGATCGAAATGGACTTTTCCTTACGCGTCACTGAGCTAAACTCCTTCGGTCAGATGTGTGTCCAAGCAGCCTCTGTCGTTATTGAGCGGAAAATGGGGCTCCTTTATTGAGTTCTTTGGCTTGGAGAAGGTGGGCACTTCAGTGGTCTGTTGCATTAGTGCTCACGTGCTTCATTACCCCTGTTATACCCTGTAAAATCGTGTCATTTTCAGGTCAGTGGTAACTAATGCACTGTGATCAGTGCACGGATACGTTTGTCCGTCAAAGAAGTTCAGTTCATCCTTAATATTTTGTAGCAATTCAAAGGGGTTAGTTTACATTTTAGGTCTGTTTCTTTCTTTCTGGTAATGAAACCAAGGATTCCTCAAAAGCGCCGTAGGCACTGTAGCTCGAAAGCCTTAAGAATCCTGTAGGAAGGAGACAGTGAGAAGAAATTACAGAGGTTGGAGGAAAACCCCAGAAGAATATTCTGGGGAAAACCCACAGAATCAGGTAGGGACTGAAAACCCAATCCACATGTGGACCAGGGCAGGAATCGAACCCGGGCCACAGTGGTGGAAGGCAAGGACAGCAACCTCTGTGTCAACCTGTAATTTTTTTGGGGGGAGGGGGGAGTGGGAAAGCATAGTGCCCACACCAAATGCAGCCTATACTGCTGTAAGTGCCAAAGGCACAAAAGCTTTCAACAGGAAGTCCTGTGCCTCCGCTCAGAAATTTGTTGAATAAGGCCTTTAAAACCGATTGTGCTTGAGGCAACTTCTGTTTTCAATTGGTCATTTTTTTCTCATTTTGATGCCCATATCCAATTCTTCAGGGAAACAGGCAGTAAAAGTTCATGCACATCCTTTTGTTGTGGTGGTCATCTCCCAGAATCTAGTGATGTTTCATCAAACTTGGGGATCAATTTAATCACTGATGGTTGATATTCTTTCTTTTAAACATTTGCAGAAACGTTTGCATTTCCGTCTGAATCACTATTACTACACGGACTTGGCTGGTACGCCTTTCAGGTATGTTAAGATTTTTGTCCTACTATTGCTCTCCAAAGTTTTGCTTCAGAAAATTAGTGACACAGGCCTATATCAGTTTTTTTATTTATCCTCTGTTGTCAGTTTACGATGTTCAACCTTGTTTGTTTCCCCTTATTTCTGAACAGCCTAGGAATTGTCTTGTCCGACAGGGCCGCTGGCGACAGCCAATTGATTGGCTTGGAGACATTCACCGTTCCCAGTGGCAACGGTAGTGAGGGTGCAGTGGGTGATCTTTGCTTACTCAAAGAAGGTTGGTAAAATTAATCAAATTTTGAAAACTTTTATTTTGCAATTGGCTATTTTTGAGTGCATGAGGAAGATGTAGGCCTAATGACCCAATTTCTGGGTGCCCCCCTGGAAAATGAAAAAAAAAAAAAAAGGAAAAAGAGGTGCGAAGCCATATTGCTGTTAATTTGATGGGGGGGGGGGGGTAGGGTGAATGCTCCCCTGCTCACGCTCGGAAAAATGATAAATTGAGAATATAATGGAAAAGGATTTGATTTTTAGAGACCCAAGATTGATCGCTCCTATTTGTATTTTGCTTCTTTACCAGGTCTGGAAAATTTGTTCAATGACACTGAAGCCGCAGTTCTTGCTAATTGGTAAGAATAAAGTTTGATTATACAATTGCAAAAAAAGAAACATTTCAGGTTTTACTTTTAGCCAACCATTTCACAACTTTCCCAAAAGTCATCAACTGTCGACAACAACTGTAGTTTTCATCCATATTTTCAGTGAATAGCACTTCTTCCTATTTTTTTCCGTCGCAGGATTTACTGCAATTTGAATAACACAGAAGGGATGACCATGACAAGACCTCAGGCGCTAGAGAAGTACCTCCGGCTAGCCATGGAGAACAGTGGCTACCTCAGTGCCAAATGTATGTACAAGTTCAAGAATTCAGTCTGTGTTTGTGAGGGGTCGTTCATTTAAATAAATGAGAAAAATAAATTGTAATGCTTATATAGCACTTTCCACCATATCAACAATCTCAAAGCACTTTACAATTGTTTCCCCATTCATCAGGCCACGAGACCACATGGCAGTCGATCAGCGCACATGCGGTCCTCTACCCGCATAGGTACCCATTCATACTCCTGGGTGGAGAGAGGCAATTGTAGTTGAGTGTCTTGCCCAAGGGCACAAACACCATGCTCCTGGCAAGGTTCGCACCCACGCACCATCGTAACCACTGGACCATAACATTCTATATTATAGGATGGATCCTTTGCATGACTTAATGGGTGAATTATTACATGATGTTTGCAGAAAAAAAAGATGATGCCAGTTGCCTGGCAGAAACGTTTGTAATTAAGGGCCATACCAAGGCTTCAGGGTCAAGGGGAAGGTGAAGGCTGCAAATGGGTGCCGAGTGCACTCACCCAGGACTCTCTTGGACAGCGTTGTAGTCGATTCCATCACAATTCCTTTGCAAGTCAATCACAAGTCGATCACTATTCTTCAAGTCCCATTCAGGAGAATATTTTGAAAAATTTGGAATGGATAGTTTGAACACAGTCATGTTTTTAAATATTTTGTTTGCGTGTTTAAACCCTGTTGCTTTTAATGAGAAAATAAAATGAATGGAATTATCCATCTTTACCCTAGGTGACCCCGAGTTAATCAATCATGTGATCTTTGATGCCAAGGTCACGCAACCCATAGTGAGCTACTGGGAAGGTATCTATGAAGCTCCTTCAAGAACGTAAGTTTCTCATTCAGCAATTTGCCTATAAATTGAGAAGAAAAAGGTAAACCAAATGGTTAATTTCTTTCTGTGACTCTATCTGGTTCCCTTCACTACACTTGTGAATTATCTGAAAATTAGGTGCGTAATAGGTTTTAATTACAAAGTTATGCAGTCAGTTCATCCCACATGTTGGTTTCGCATAGTAGCTGAACTATAGACCTGTATCATGCTGCCACCATTTTAGTCATGTTCCCTGTATCCAACAACAGTAGTGAATGATAACGTTTTTTGTCTAAAAAGGAACCAGACTATTTTTCCTTCCAGCCTCGCTTTGGTTACGTTGAATTGAATGGGAACACAATAACGATGGCCGCAACATGATAATGGTCTATTGGTTGTTAGCCCTGTTTTACCATGTTTACGTTTATTTGTCATTTTTAGTTTCTCCATTTTTTGCATGAATTCAACTTGTATTAATTCTCATTTTTTATACCGAATTGCCTCCTTGTGTCCTGACCCCAGCCCGCCAATGCTTTCCAATGAAACCCTTGCCCGACAGGCTTTATACCAAGCCCTCTGTGATAATGAAACCATGCCAACAGAACCCCAAACAACCGCAGTCTATGCAAATAGCACAGATTTCCTTATCACAAACCCGACGGATGGATGGTTGTCGGTACAACCCACAACAAGTCCGTCTGTAAACCAGACTACAAGCAACGCAACTGATATTCCCATGACCCTGAATTTGACCTCCCCGGCCTTTTTCGGGGTCACCCAAGAAGAGCAAATGACGACTCAGAAAGATGACGTTGTCACAACAAATGCCCCCGAAATGACGACCAATGATGGCAGCCTGTGGTAGGTTCCGCCCCCTGGATCCTCTTATGGATCCACCCTTTGATTGGCTTGCAGTGCCTTGCTGTGTGGAATACTGGATTGACCTTCTCTATAACAGCACGATGCTTTCAGCGTTTTCTGGCATGCACACTATTTTAACCTTGGAGCTTTTCTTACCATGTGTTACGTGATGATGGAAAAAGTTAATCTCCCAAGACATCAAAATAATAAAAAATTATCAAACTTATATAAAGTGCATTTCACACAAAGTCCCAGGCTGGACTCGAACCCACAACCTGCAGATTACCCGCAGACCACAAATTCAATGCTCCAGGACATGTGGCCAGGGCACACCAATGAATTCACCCTGTCTTGCAAGAACCTGATAAAAATATGGACCAAATTTGGTAGCTTTAAGGCAGTTTATAGATATGAAGACTGTATTTCCCAAAATGCTATATATCAATTTCATTAAACTGAGATGGTTGCAATGCTATGGTAATAAATGGGATGAACACACGCATACTGGAATTTGTATTCTTGTGGAGACATATCCTTTGTTCTTGTGTACTAAAGTTTTCAAGTTTGAAAGTGTAGTTTAAAAATGCTCTTATTTTAACCAGAATTAATTTCCTTGGCTGAAATTTGGACTTCATATCCCTTTTCTAAAACTCTTCCATTTGTAATGGATCAACATAACTTGGAAATTCCTAGTTTTTGAGTAAAATCCATATATCTATTTCGTAAAAACCTTGTGGAGACGTATTCATCTATAGAAATTGCCCTGTGGAGACGTTTACAATCTTTTGTTCCCTATTGTACATATGTCTTGAGGGGGTACGGTGTATCAGATCAATATAACAGCTGATTGTAAACTACATTTTTCATTTCACGCCAAAAGGTGACAAAGCTGCATTTATGGCATTTTGGAAATTAGCTCTTCCTATCACTGAAAGAAATAAGAATTGCATTTAAATTTTTGAAGTTTCATTTCTCTTTTTTACCCACTCTTTTGAAGCTCGTTAATTTTTTTTGTTCGTGCGTTTGAACTGTTGAAATGCTATGACTAATATTCATTAATACATGGAGGTTCTTGTGAGGAGAATCCGGGAGATATCGCCTGTCTAGTTTTAATTAACAAGTCAAGTATTCCCAGTCATTCTTAGCGTATCATGACTTGTTATTGGCTTGAAATGGTGCCTGTTAGAGACGATGGGCCTTCATCAGCAAGGCGTTAATTGTGCATTGTTTTAGTCCATCTCACTATTAAGAGTGTCTTGTCTTTATCTCTCCTTTCGTCTCAGTAGTAATCATGACTGACCTACTAACAATTTTATCTCCAAAGTTTCTTTCTTCACTTACTGACAAGAATGTTTGCAAAAAGGTTTCGACGCTTTTGATCCATTTTGCTGTTGAAAATAAATCTTCTGTTGCATTTTCACAAGCATTTGTTGTAGTGTGATTGCTTATCGAAAGTCAGTATCATAAAGTGTGATATTTCCAAAATCGTACTCCAAATTTTTTTTTAAAGGCCCTTTTTAAGCTGATTCGTTTAATGAGTTATGATGAAAATCACAATGAAAACTACAGTTGTTGACGTAATGAAATCAGCCGGTTTTAGCATTTTTGTGAAGAATTAACCAGCTTTTAAAGGGATGAAACTAAACTATTTATAATTTCATAAATTAATGTAATTTCATTGTTAAATTGGTCTTATGTTATACAGGGATGGTGTTATCCTATCCTTCGTTGGCACAATGGGTGGCTTGACTAGAATTTTCCCTAACCCATACGCCACCCAAAAAAGGTAAGGATAGTTTTTATGTTTGGACAAATGTCATTTTCCAGAACCTCAGAAAACAACACTGATTTGCACAAGCTGATGTCATTTCTGCTTTTAATTTTTCTGATGGACAATTGTGCATTAAAGCGTATCATAATTGTGTGCTGATATTTTTATGGTTACATTTGTACACTGTCTTTATTGGTACATCATTTAAATCTTATCACAAATTTCATTTCTTCAATATTGGTTTTGCCTTTTACCGACGTGGGGAAGAAGTGAAAAACACAATATTGAAAATTTGCAAAAAAGAATTAACATTCGGATTTCATTATTCAAAACCTGATTTAACTTGATGAAAAATTTCATCAGTCCAAAATTTAACATTATTCAAAACTTATGTTCATTTGATAGCAGAAGTAATCATCAATGTGTCTTTAATTTGGGGAACATTTTCTTATGAACTCTTCATGAGTTTATGACTTTCCAAACATTTTTACTTTAATTAAGTTAAGTTTTGAAGAAAAAAAATTCATATATAAAAGTGATGATATTGTTTTGCTCCCTACCAACAAACAGCAAATTTGCAGAGGAATTTCCCAACACCATAGAGGAGGAATATTACCAGCGTGCGGCCGAGACCTCTACTCAGAAATTCATCTACTCTGTCCCTCTACAAGGCCAGGAAGGTATGATAACAATATGATGGGGACAGAGATCAGACACACTCTGGTGGAGGTTTTGCAGTGACTGGATTCTCTCAATATTCCACCCAGTGATCAGTTTTTCTTTGTGGTTTATTTGAAAATTTGAAATGAAAAGCTGTATCCTCTCTGAGTGATCCCCGTTTGCTATTCCCCAGGATTGCAGCATTGCTTATGTTGCTTAGCATTGTGACTTTGGGCGTGATCCCTGGCTATATACAAATTTATGGCTTCTGACTAGCACCCCTTGCTGAACAAAGACATTGACCAATAATGGGGTACCGCAAATATAGGACTGCATGCGTCAATTTGAAGTAAAACGCGTATTGATAGTAAACTTTGGTCACATTGCAAACTTTTTTTTCTTTTGAGAATGCTAGAAGCTGATGGAAAATCTGAAAATGTCTTGCAGAAACATGTATACAGAAATGTATCTTTGGAAAATTCCATTCCTTTAATCAACTTTTATTTATCAAATCATTTATTACACTATCAGATCATATTTCTGTGATTTGTTTTATGTAAGTACTTCAGATCTCTTGTAACGTATCATTGTATGTTATTAAATTCTCCCAGATGGGTATACAGCAGATGGATCAGAATACCTTGTCACAGCCAGCGCCCCAGTCTTGGTGACAAAAGATGGCAAAAGAAGCATCGCAGCAGGTGAGTCCAAGCAACCTGATTGTTGGAATATCTAATTAAAGAGGCAGGGCTATGCAAATTTATGATGGGGATTGGTAAACCCGGCCCTCTGATTGGAGGAATACATAATCTTCAAGGCGGGGCTATGCAAGTTTATAATTCATATCTGACAACCCAGCCTTCTCATTGGAGGAATACCTAATATCAGAGTTGAGGCTATGTACATTTTGGCTGATCTAGACATGATGATTTTGATTAACTGGACATATGGAACAATTTGCTTTGCAATCAGAGTAGGCAGGCAGGCAACAGAGTTGATTTTGTGTTCTCCATTCAAGGGTAATTTTTAGGAATCACATGGGCGAGTTAAAAAAAAGTAACTTTTTGTTGTTTGTCAATAAACAATTCAGTTGTCAGAACCAGCAATTATTCTACATGCTTGTTTTTTTCAAGTACGGAAGTTAGGTGATGGGATTGTGCCTTTGATGATACAAGCATGGCATTTGGCACACAGTCAGAATATGTCATGAGAAATATATTTGGCTAAAGAGCCATCGCAGATTGGTCCTTTGAAAAAAAATAAAGGTAGAATAACAAGCAATGACAGCCATTTTGAAAATTTTGAAAATTGCTTATTATTCTACCTATATAAGGACAAAATCTGTGATGGCCCTATAGCCACATATCTTTCTCATGACATACTCTGACTGTTTGCCAAATGCCATGCTTGTATCATCAAAGGCACAATTCCCCCAAATAATTCCCCTATCTGCCCCACTATTAATGCTTTGTTGATTGAGGTAACAAATTATTCTAAATAGGTATCATTTTTGCTCTTGCTTAATTTATGTTACAGCTATTGGTCTTCAAATGCTGTCAGATTTTCTGAAAGACATGTTCTTGGAAACAACTACCATGGTACGATTGGCATTCTTTACATCTTTCATTTTTTTACGAAAAGACCTGAAATGTGTTGTGCATAAACAACCAAAACCATGCAAATCATCTTAGAAACCACCATTTTGGAATATGGGTGATGAGAACCCCTTTTGTTGAGGACCAAAATCCAATAATAATCCCAACTAAAAAGTATGAATCAAAAAGACATCATAATGAATTCTCTAGAGATACCTCCTAAAATTTTTATGGAAAGTCCCCCCCCCCCCACCCACCCTCGGCATCATCTATTCAAAATTGAAATGGGTTTTCCATGAGGTGTGTTCCAACTAACTAAATGTCGCGTATTTTTTTGTCGCATTTTATTAAAAAAATATGGAAGTAAAATTCTTCCTTTCTCTTTCAGCATTAAATTTGCCTCTTTGTGAAAATAGTGCTTTAGTTGCCCTTTGTAAGTATTTTGTTTAAAAAAATGTTTGATGCAAATTCCTGCATGGACAAAAAATTACTAATAGATTTTGATCGTTGCTATTTTATTCCTTTGTTCTTATTTCCATGCAGCATCGGCAGGATTGCAATTCAGTGGCGTTTGACTGTGAACTCACCTGTTATAATGAGGTAAATAGACCAAGCGAGGGCAGTGTTCATTAAGACTATGGAGCAGGCTCAATGAAGGACGTTTGGTTGAGCCATGGTTTATTTGCAATACACTTTGTGCTTATACATACTAAAGTTACTTCTAATCCTACGTCTACGTTAAATTTGCCTCTTTGTGATAATAGTGCTTTAGTTGCCCTTTCTATTTGCTTTAAAAAATGTTTTAATGAAAATTCCTGCATTCAAAAATTACTAATAGATAATCGACGTCCATGCAATTGGATATCTCGTCAATTTGCTTGTCGTGCAGATGTGTGAACCAGTGTAGATTTAATTACGCATTTACAAGCTGTAGGTGCAGAAAATTGACAGTGATTATTTACAAAGCGCCATGGTCCAATGCTTACGGTGTTCGACTCGTGTGCTGTGGTACGTGGGTTCGAACACTGACGGGGAACATGGTGCTTGTGTTTTTGGGCAAGACACTTTACTACAATTGATGCTCTCCACCCAGGAGTATAATGGTACCTGTGATGGTATAGTGACCACTGTGATGGCACTGATCTCGAGCTGCTGCAGAAAAAAATGGTCTCATGACCTGATGAACAGGGGTAATATTTGTGAAGCAAGGGCAAGAAACTGCGAAAAAAAAATAATATTGAATTTACATCACCGTGGCGCAAATTCCACATTATAAATATTTCATTGCGGTACCCGCTGCTACACCAGATTCGGAATCAGCCAACCGATCCCGGCAAGCTCGGTGGTCGAGTGGTAAGACGTCTGCACTAGAAAGTAGGAGGTCGTGGGTTCGAGTCCCACCCGATTGGTTTTTTTCCATCTTTCACTCGGGAGGTAACACACCGAGTATACATTGTTTATACGTCGGTGTAGGGCAAAACCAAAAATTGATTCACATCACCACGACGCAAATTCCATTTTATAAATAATTGCGAAGCGTTTTGAGACATGGTATAAAGCACTATATTAGCACCACATTATTATGTACATGAACTTCTTGTCTCTCCCTTGCAGTCCGTTGGTTGTTACCTCCTTGATGAGCATGGATACATCGTCATGTCTAAGGAACAACAAGAGGTCCGTTCATGTACTTTTCTCATTCTTTACTTTATTGTTGCAAATAAAAATTACCATTTTGTTTCAAAAGTTTATCAGGATGATACTTGCTTGACTCACTATTGTTGTACATAGCAGCTAGTGATTGGTTTCAATTTCTTCAGATTCACATGCTTGTTTTTGGATCTAGACAATCAATGAAAATTCATACAATATCCTAAAATAGCCCATTTTTGTCAGTTTTTAATACATTAGAACAAAATTGTCACTGTGATTTGTAAGAGTTGCTGTACGGTCAATTACACAACTTGCAACTGAGTGATAACCTTGTTTGTGCTTCATGTAGATTGGGATGCATTTTGCCTCGTTGACCGAGTATGCAAGAGTATTTGACAGAATGTTGGACACTGGAGTTTACGTAGAGTAAGTAGTTCCATGTAAGATAAACAAACAAATACTGCTATATTTCAGCAATATTATTGCACTCCTAACATTACTCCATATTGATTTTGCTAGTTCTCTTTGTCTGTGCAATTTGTGTGTGTGTCTTATTACTTATTAGACCCTGTGGGTACATATTTTGAATGAGAGTCTTGTGTCTCATCCGTTGAAAACAAAAATAAAGTAACTTTTTTAAGCTCTAGCAGGAGTTTCTACATGTCACTTGGTGGTCGGTCGGTCAGTCTGTCTGTCTGTCTGTCCCCGAAAATTGACCAAATGTATGGTGTTCCATATGTGCCATCGACGTCGAATTTTTCGGCGTCGCATTTTGAAGCTCTGGCTGGGATAATATTGATTGAATTCATGCAAGACTTTCATGCAAGACTTAATTCTTGCAACACGGCCAGAGCTTATTGTGCACTCGCACTTGTTCATGACCTTTGACCTTGCTCAACAGGATCAAGCAAATTGACTACCAGGCAATGTGCCAGGAGACAGTCATGCACATCAGTGCTGCTTCGCATCTGTTAGATGTAAGTGTGGCATCAGTATAGTTGTTTAGTGAGAAATTTACTCTAATAGAGGCTGAGTTATTAAGAATTTTTTTTTAAATATTGTTGATTGCTCAGTTGACACTTTTGCTGGTAAATTTTTTGTTGGGTTATGCATATTTCTTGATTCTCGGTAGAAATAGTTTCCGAGTACTTAGAAAAGTTCTCCAAAGGCCGTACCTACAATACATTTTATATTTAGAAGAATTTAATTCAATCCTGAATCAAGTTAAGCATTCGTAACCCTTTTCACTTGCTTCAGATGTTGCTTTGCTAATCACTAGATCTTGTTAAGCTAATTCTTAAATTTTCCAATCAAGTATTAATTCTCAATATTTTGCTTTCCATTTCAGCCACTGATTTCCATTAGTACATTCTTGATGGGCTTCACAAAACAGGTGATCTTGTAAGTATGCAGATTGTAGCTTATCTAGGGGGAGAGACCATGGTGCAATCCCTCAGCCCCTGAAGGGATTACAAAACAAAATTGGTGTTTCCCAACTTGTTAAATCGGCGCAAGGAAGAGCGCCACCTATTTTCTAATATTGTCCAATATGGTCTGCTTTGAACAGCGCCTCCAACAGTCAGATGGTGTTCAGGGCCCCCCCCCCCCCCCCCCCCCCGGCCGGCCAGCTCACCGGCTAAAAATCCTAGCTACATTCCAGCATGGAGGGTCTGCTTCCCCCCCCCCCAAGCCGCCCCCCCCCCCCCCCCCCATCCCCGCAGCAACCTTGTCTACGTCACTGTACACAGATATTCTTCTCCTTCATATATATTTTTGTACAACTTGATTTCTGACCTTTCCACTGATTTTTTTCCCTTCATTTTGCAGATTGCTGTCCCAAGTGGGGCTTTATTACAGCTGGGAAGTGTCTTATGCCGAGGGAACAGTTGTCAGTAAGTTAAAATATAACTTTTTTCCTTGTGTACTCTATTATTATAGATTCACACTAAATATTCACACTACACCTGCACAGCTGCATTCTGCGCCACATCGTGCAGTACGCCCTGCGCGCGCCAATATTCATATAAGGAGATTTTTAAGTACTACTCGCTCAAGGCACATACCATAAACATAGCTAGAGGGGTGTTTCACAAAACATGAAGTAAAATTGTTGAGTAAAACCGTTGGAGATTTATAATTTTTGAGTTGTTTTGACCTTTTGACCAATAATGTCCCTCACCTGATAATGGCCCTAGCATGATAATGCGTCTCGGGCCATTATCCGCATCAGGCCCCTAGCTGGTTTTAAACATACTTTTTTAAAACCTGCGAAGCACATATTTATTCCTTTAGTTATGAACACTCTGCTATTGAAATGCTTATTACTAATTAATTGATTTTCTTTCTTGATTTCCTTATAGCCGAAGAAGTGATATCCACACCGTGTGATAAAGAAATGACCTATTACTCTGCAAACAGTGACAGATTGCCTCAGACAAGTTTTATTCAAAAACAGTGCGAAGACTGTAAAAAGTAAGTGAAGGTTCTGAATTTTTAAAAGGATCGGCTAAATAAAAACTTGGCCCAATTTTATGGGGCCACTAAAATACAAAGTTGTGTTAAAAATATGAATACAATTCAGTAAAACAGGTTACCGGCAAAAATGTCATGCAATGTGGATGGCTTGTGACTGGGTTTCCGCAAAGTTGTACTTAGCATATAATTAAGGCCATGTCCAAATTAGTTGGCTGTGGCTGGAAATAACACGTGTCTATGGTAACGGCTGCAGCCACTCCCCATATACTTGTGTGTAATTTTAAGCCGTAGCCAAGTAAATCGGACATGGCCTTATTTTGAACTACTTACTGTTCAGCAGCTTTATAATATTGAGTCTTAGACTTGATTCAGAAAGAAATGAAAGTTCAGTTCTAATTCTAAGGCAAAATCCTGCTGGACTTAAAATCAAGTTTATCCTTTCCACTTTAGTTTCATTCAACTAATTTGCATTTCTCTTCTCATGACTTTGGCTTTACCCTTTTGCCTCGAAGGGCCAATATAAACAGCCAAAAATACAATGTGTTTTCGTTTGTAGCTTCCATTTTTAGTAGTTTAAAAATGCCCTTTCACAAGCAAGTTTTGAAGCTTGCCCTTAGCTCACTATCAAAGCTGAACACTTAATGGTATTAGATTTTACCAGGAACAAAAAATCTTGACAATTTTTGACCGTGGAAATTCAGAAAGGAAACGCACCACAGGAGCATGTGGTGCTCTCTTTTCATCATTCATGTCGGTGAAATTGGTTTTATTGTCAACAAAATTGTGAAACTGAAGTTAGAATTGGTTAATGTTTCATATTGTATCTCTAGTGATTAATAAGTTTCTGGCTACAGTTCTGCCTGTCATGATCTTTCACACATATATTTTGGTGACGCCCATCGAGCATTGTTCACAAGTCCTCACAAGTCATCTATAGTTGTAGTCCTCAGTCAAATCACAAACTATTCAACAACAAAGGCATTTATATATATTGGTCCTCCCATACTACTTATGACCAGAGTTGTGAATTAACTTAGTATCCACTCCGTTCACAAGTACCCACTCACCGGCAAAGCAAGTACAGTTGGGGGTGACCGACTGACGCCATCTTGCCCGACTGCAATTCATTTGCCGCGAAGCGCAGCCACTGCGTGTTCATAGTACATAGTACAAATCCCCTGGTGTCCGTGCGTCACACACAAGGAACGGTGCGCGTCAGCCAGCGAAATGTCCCACCCATGGGGCGTCGTTGCTAGGTAAAAGGGTGCCCTCTTTTATCGGCGTACGGAGCCCATTACTCCTAGCTGGAATTAAAATAGATTGACGATTCCGAATCCCTTCTTCTCAGGTCTTACAGCATGGACGCTGTTCCCCACAGTAACCTCATACTGCTAATAGTGGACAAGGATTGCACATGTGACATCCTGAGACCTAAGCACCTAGAGCCGGTCAAGGTGGAATATAACAGCTCCCGTTGGTGTCAGAGGTTACGCACCCAGGTGCATCGCAGACGTCCTGAGCCATGTCACTCCCAGCATCCTTTGGTAAATTGGTTTCCTTTGATTTGTGTATTTACTACATCACACAAGGCACATTTCACATGCAACTTGGAGGCAAGCAAATACACTGGAAGTGTTTGTTTGAACATTATGTGTAATTAAAATTTGCTTGTCATTTTCTTCTTCGCATTTGCCTGGAACAAGTTGCTTTTAAATTGCTTCTCGTTACACAACCATCTATATCACCAACTACAATTTTTTTTAAAGACTGCAAATCTTTTTGCAAATTTTTCTAAAATATTCATGACAAATGAATGTTTTATTCATATTTGAAGCATGAATTGAAGCTTGCACTGGCAAAATAGGCTACATTATTTTAGTCCTTTTTTCACCCTTATATATTGATGTCACATCTCAGCATTTATGTGAAGTAATCTGGGCAAACCCTTCACATGGTGACTGTTAAAATTTAAAAAAAGAAAAGAAATCTGATATTTCTGCATGATAGCCATTTAGATAAATCTTATTGCCCTCATAATATTTGATGTGATGGTTGTTGAAAAAAAGTAAAATCATCCCTAAAAAGTGCCCATGTAAAGGAATTTTCAGGTCATATTATTTTTCCGACATCCACCAGCTTTATAAATCCGAAACATCTTTAAAAGCTGTTTCACCCTTTTGTATTGTCTTGAACCTATCACTGTGCCAATTTCATGTCTGGAAACTGAAGTTGGTCAGTGGATATCTTGTTTTTTCCCTTGATGTGTAGGTTTTCCAGGCTATTTTAAAACATTTATCATTCGAATTCACCGTTTCTAATATTCAAATTCGTCCATCAACATCGATTTAGTGCACTTACAATGTTTAATTTCATCTTTTGTCAGACAATTTCAAATTCAGTTCAAGCAAATTCAAACAGTGAGCACACGTTTTCGTCCAAGAGTATTCGATTTTGTCTCGTCTATGCCAAACCTTGTTATTTAGAAGTCAAATTCGTCTAATTGATTTATATACTACGAATTCGATCTCTGAATGCTGCCATTCGGCAACAGCTTCGACAAATTTGATCTGTAATGACGAATATTCTGGACCCGATGACTAAAGTTTGGTCACCCAAACTTTAAAATTGAACGGTAAATGACTAAATTGGTTTTGTTAAGAGTTTGTGAAATTTGTCGTGGACGAAATGGAATGATAGAGTTGGTGAATCTGAATGAAAATTTTTTTAAAATAGCCGGGAAAACCAATGCTTTTCAAATCCTTCATACTTTTCATTCTACTCATATTCTGGATAAATTAGGCTGATATCCATTTTGGATTGACCTCTTCCTTATACAGGAGAATTCCACAGACTGTGGCCGAGGTTCATGGCTCTGCCCTTCGTTGCCATGGATACTACTTATGTTGCTTGTCAAGTCCATCCTCACGTATGTCTCCTCCAGAACGTGACAACACGCCCTCCAGTGGACAAATATTGCACAGTCAACGAACATTTTTGTAAGCGAAGGCTGGCCTTCCTAATGGCTCTCTTTTTTTAATTCAAATTTTTTGATCTTCTGAAATTGTAGCATGGAGTTGAATTTTCGCCTGCATGACCCATTATGCGCACAATATATTAAAACTGTACATTATTAGTGTTATATTCCGTAAAAGAAATGGGAAATTTTAAACATTTTATGGACACAAATGATTGTTATTTCCTTTTGGTCGTAAGCTGCAAATATACCAATTTTAATGGTTTATGTAATAAGGTGGTTTTTGATTTGATATTTTTTTCTTAGCTTGTGTTATTTGATCTAATTTAAAATAAAAAAAGAGTAATACATCGAATGTAAAGCCAAGTATTTAAGGGCAAATTTTCAAAGTAAATTTTTGAATTTTTAAACGTGAGAAAATTTTCCAAATTGCAGTTTTAAATTTTATGGTCCTTTGTGACACTTTGAATTTTCAGTGCATGGTTTTGGATTGTTGCACGGAACGGTTCTGTATTTTTTATAGGAGAAGTGATCCATATAGAAATGGAAACCAATCAATTACACAAGCATAAAATACCAAAGTTACAACATACACATGTTCTGAATTGAGAATCTTTGTGTGGAACCAATCATCTTTCAAAAGACAAAAACTCCCAAGGAAGATGTGAAAGCTTTCTCAAGTGCACTTGTCACATCTTTTAAGAAACATGAAATGTCACCATTTCTAAAATGTGCATACATCAGCCATGCTAGTAATTGATCGAACAAACCTGTTATGCTCCTTATAGTTAGGACTTGTTCACGTTTTGAGTGTGAAGAGCACCTTAGAGTTGTAGTCAAGCACTCACAAGTCAATCACAAGTAATCACCAATATTCACAAGTTATCAAAAGTCATCGCAATTCAATCATAAGATCATAAGTCATCAAGTAAAATCACAAGTCATCGTGTAGAATCACAAGTCTTTGCAAGTTGCCACAAGTCATTATAAGTCATTACAAGTTAATCACTAGTCATCACAAGTCAAAAACAAGTCAATGACAAGTCAGTCACGAATCATAACGAATGATCACAAGTCAATCACAAGTCAATCACAAGTCATCACAAGTAATCACCAGTATTCACAAGTTATCAAAAGTCATCACGATTCAATCATAAAACATCAAATAAAAATCACAAGTCATCACGTAGAATCACAAGTCATTGCAAGTTGACATAAGTCATCATAAGTCATTACAAGTTAATCGCAAGTTAGCACAAGTCAATGCAAGTAAGTCACAATTCAATCACGAGTCATCACGAATCATAACGAATCATCACAAGTCAATCACAAGTCAGTCACATGTCAATCACAAGTCAGTCACAAGTCCATCACAAGTCAATCACAAGTCAATCACAAGTCAATCTCAAGTCATCACGAATCATAACGAATCATTGCAAGTCAATCACAAGTCAGTCACAAGTCAATCACAAGTCAGTCACAAGTCAATCACAAGTCAATCACAAGTCAATCACAAGTCAATCACAAGTCAATCACAAGTCAATCACAAGTCAATCACAAGTCAGTCACAAGTCAATCACAAGTCAATCACAAGTCAATCACAAGTCAATCACAAGTCAAAAAGCTTTTCCAATGAACTGTGACAACGGCATTACGTTGGTATGCCCTTTCGTCCCGGGTTACTTACGACCTTACTTGTTATTTGGCTTGAGGTTGACTCTATTGTTGTTTATTCATCACTTCATTCAATTTTTTCCAAGTGTGTATCTGTAAATATTGGAATAATCTGCACATTAGTGGCCACCAAAGTTGAGTAAATAAACTCGCTGTACATATATATTCATATTTGAATTTTTTTTTATATATAATCCTCCATGAGGATGCCAGATATGGCGGGATTATCTTCCATATTTTACTCTATTTTAAAACTATTCATAATTGTTCATATTCTTAAGATTTATACTGAACTATGGGATGTACCTATCTGATATGGAATCATATGTTGTAGGATTTGAGTCACATATAGTTCCGTTTGCTCAAATTTTCAAACTTTGCGTAGTGTTTGTACCAATTGGAAGCAACTTTAATTCTGTCTTTAGAAAACCTAAGTAGCTTTCCGCACTGTTCAGCACAGTTTAAACTTCACGCAGATGTAAATGAAAGCTAGTTTTTGAGGTAAAAAAAAACACGACTGAAAGGAGCTGGAAATGTTGAGTAGAGTCTAGTGTTAGCAGCTTCTTACTGTCAATTTGCATGATATTTGCGAACAGGCATAAGATTTCAAGCCAGATTTTGAGGGGGGAAATGGTTTCATTGATATTTGAGTTACAAAACATGATATCGGGTAGACCAAAGAAAGAGACATGTGTTTTTTTAAGTGGTGTTTTTTTTTTTTTTTTTTTTTTTTTTTGGTGAATTTCCTTATTTATTTTTTTAACTGTGCCTTTAGTAGTTGCTGGTCAGACAATAATCCCGATGCCAAGAACAATCGTCCACTGCATCACAAGGAATGCATTATTCATTTGTCTTTATTTTTGCAATTTTAATTTATGTACATAATTATATTAGTGAAGTTAAATAAGTTTAATTTTATTTTGATTGGCACTGCTTTGATCAAAAACGGACAATATAATGGTTTTCTTGACCTTATGTCAAAGAAGGTGAAGAAATTTGTCAAATACCATTGCTTTATAGAAACACGTAGAAATACCACTAAGTATATTTTTTTCATCACTTCTATTTTCTCTTTAGACTATCTAGTCAGTTACAACTTAAAAGACCATTCATCATCACGTCATAAATACAGTTGTGCAGTATACTTTAAATAAGCATTTGAATTGTATTATCAAGTTTGAAATATATCGTTTTTCTTTCTGTAATATTTTTAAGCATTGCTAAATACATCCTTATTATTGTAAACTAGTGTATATTCAAGAACAAGCTTTTTATTGTATTTGATATTGAAAGAACGTCTTCCAATTTGGTGAAATGTTGAAATTAGAATTGATAGCAATTGGCTGATTGTAGGTGTGAAATATTCATTAGGCACAAAAGACACTATAATACGTGGTTACATTTTGTTTTCTCTAATAATAATACCAAATGTTGCAGCATAAGGCTTAAAACAAACATAATATTCCCCATCTATTGATTTTTTTCCAAAGTATCAGTTTCCAGTTTTCAATGAGAAAACACAGTTTGTGGATTTGAGTGTTCACCAAAAAAGGATATGTTTAGAATCAAGTATTGCCAGTTTACATCGGAAGGCTAATATTCCAGCAAGAACAAACTTTTAACCGATGTAGACGAAAATTGAAGTCATGTTATCAAACGTAAGTTATGACTTGTAGACCGGTTATTTTCTCTGGACACTTAGGCCTCCGAAAATCAATAGGTGAGGGGGAGGGACGGGGGGGGGGCTTGCGCCATATTTTCAATGGGGAGCGCTGATAAAATCCTACAATCAGGCACACTAGATTTATATTAACTATTACAAAGTGTACAAAATGCACCCTTCTCATTACTATTTTTTTGGGGGGGGGGGGGGGCTGGGGGCTAGACAAACAAAATGGGGGGGGGGGGGGGGGAATAAAGCCCCCCGTAGAACCACCACTGGACAAGACCACTGTATGAAGAAAACAGTTTTCCCAATTAATTATTCTATTATTTGAATTTTCAACTTACAATTGTCTTTGCAAAAGTTTCGTTTGGGGCAGTTATTCTTCGCTTCGGGAAGTGCTGAAGTTATGTAGAATATGATGGGGCTTATTGGCTTTATTTCATACAAATATCTATGCAGAAATATTGTACATAATCGGCAGTCATGCATACATTGTTTATGACAATAAAAAGAATATTCGATGCACTATAGTTAAAGTTTCGATGATTTGTTTGGTCAATTTTTAAAAACCAGTCAGCAAAAAAAAGTCTTGTCCCGAGTGGACTAGACCAGCTGAGTACTGTTTCAGATTTTATGGTCGGTGACATTATCAAAATTCCCTATATTTCCATTACAGTCGTGTAAAAACACTTGGCCAGACTTGGAAAAAAAAATACTCGCTTGACATACGTGACGCACCTGTCGGCTTTCAACCTGTTAAAGAGTCCGCAACTTGATGGATATTTTTAGGAAATAGAAAGGGCCAATATGATTGGTTCGAAGTGACTGTCCCTCAGAAACGTCACTAGATATACACGAAACGATTGGTCGGTGTGTAAATGCAAATACTAAATTTGCATATCATTGGTCGTGTGACGAAGTGGTGACCCATGCACGAAAATCGTACGTCACGGCGTTCGCGCACGCATGCATTGTGTGTGATGCGAGCAAGAACGCAACGGCACTCATACGATGAGCAGACACGGGATATCATTCATCTGAAAAGTTTTAATCTGTTGAGTCGTCATGGCGTGGTACAAATTTGTCAATTATTTGGACAATGAGAGCTGTTGTATGCCTGAAGGTATTTTAATCTTATAGGTCGTTTAACCCAGCCAGAAAAAGAGCAGAAGACAAAATATGACTGGAAACGCTGAAGGGCCACGTGCACGGAACTGATTTGTTGTAGACTCGTGAGTCGTGTATACAGCGGAGACTAAAAACAGGGATCCGAAACGAGTCGCGGTGACTCTCTTTTTGTACCAAAAAATTGGCAACTTTGATGAATTTGTGAACTTTACCGTCATGACGAACAAGAATGAAACCTGATATGTTTCTAGTCAGTGGTTGAAGTGTGAACAATGGGAGAACTTCCAAAGCAACAGGAACTGTTCCGAGTTCAAAGTTTCCGCTGGATGGTTTTCATCGTCAGCGTGTTTTGTGTGAATGCACCGCCGTCAGCGCTGGCACGGTTCGAGCCGCCCTGCTTGGGTGACGATTTCACGTGGACGGTAAGTGACATTGATTAGTTTTAACCTAAATGATGCACGGTCTGTTTTTTTATCGCCAATATATATTTTTTTATTACCCATGAAGGAAAGAATGTTGCACCCGGACGCCACTTTCCCATATCATCTCACCTGTCACACATGGCAAAAATGTTGAAAAGACATGTTTGCATGGGACTGAGAAACATTACAATTTTGATGGAAAATGCTCCGAAAATGCATTTAACTCTCCATATACTTTGTACCCAACTAAAGAAGTGGCGTCTGGGAAGAACATTCTTTCCTAGTCCTACATTTCATATAACACAAAAATGTAACCTTTGTTCTTTGTACTGTTCTTTGTATAACCAGTACAAACATAGTAGAAGCTATTTAGTTGCCTTCAAAAAAAGAAGCAGATTTCATTTAGCTGAATTCATAAATACAAATTATCTGCAAAATTTCCCCATATTTGTGTTTGTATTTGACTCGTGTATTTATCCTTGTATAGGCCTTCCACTCTTTATCACAGTGTGTGAATATTTGTCGCTGAATTTTAGTTAATTATGTGTGTTGCAAACTTGCGGAAATCACTGATATATGACTGATGTACCTGTAAACATAAGTGATTATTAACTATCAAAGACCTCTGTTGTAATTCACCTATTTATCTTATCTCTAAATATCCATCAGCAATAACAAGTTACAATCAACCCGACACCTTTGAAATGACAAGAATTCATTGATACAATGTAGACTGAAGGTGAACATTAGATGAAAGAAAGCACTGGAAAAGAGCACACATTTGACAGTTTGGATTATTTTGCTTGGCCTACTTCACAGTCCACGAGTAAATAAATCGTGACCCTCCATTTATGTACGTTTGAAAGATTGCAAATTGGTTGAGTGTTTCCTATACAGTGTCGCCTTTGTAATTGCGGTACACAATCGGTGACCTTGGTGTTCTGATTGAACCATGCGCCCCGGCCAAACCACATCTGTTGGCAAAAGTGCATGTACATCCTACGCATGTAGATGTGGTTAAATTTAATGAAATAATGAAAATATAAGTCAAGATTATTCAATAAAAAATATCAATCAAAATAATTACGATGATGCCTTGGGGTCTCAAACACTGTTTTGTTGCATTTTTTCATTATTGAAATTAATTCAGGGATGAACGATGTTTTAGTCCATTAGGGTATTATCTTTTACTGCCCAAAACCACCCTGCTTACTCGCTGTATCGCCCAAAACTACCCATAAAAAAAAGCACTTTATGTTTTTATGTATTTTTATGGAATAAATACAATGCCGCAGGATTCCTGTGTCTTGGACAGACCTGGAAAATCATGGATTTTTTTTTATTTTTCAGGTCTGAAAAAGTCATGGAAATTTGTAAAAATGTTTATATGAAGTTTTGTGAGGACCAATTTAATTTAATTCTTAAATTTTGTATATAATTTAGCATCAAACTTTTTTTATTTTTATAGCCAACAAAATGTGACAAAATTTGCCGATACAAGCATTTTGATTTCAAATGATTTGCCCTTGATATCCCTATTTAGAATGTTAATAGTTTTGATCCATATTTTCATGAAAAAGGTCATGGATTTTCGTAATTTGGTCATGGAAAAGGCATGCAAAAGTGTCCTAAAGGTGTAGGAACCCTGCATTATTGTCATACGATGAAGCACAGTATTTCGGGTTAAACATGTCATCTGTAGCTAGAATCGGGTGTAAATAAATTATGCACTTTTTCCCCTTTTTTGTGGAGACTGATGACGGTTTATATAAGTCTTGAAAGTCATATTGTTTTCAGACAAGTTGCATGTCAGTAGCATTCTACTGATTTTCAATAGTTTACTTGTTACCTTGAAAAAATGACTTGTTTTGTTAGGGAGGTTCTTGAACTGGAAAGCAGTCTTTATTCTGCCAGCTTATGTAAACATTGCCCAGATGCTTGAGAGAAATATTTCCATTCAAGATATTTATAAAAAAAAAATCAAGTCAACCTTTTCACTGAACAGAGATCTCATCTTACCGTTTTCCGTTTCCCCAAAGTGGCCTCAAGAAGTTCCAATTTATCACAAGATTTGAATGAAATCAAAACACAGATCTTTCTTATCCAGGGGATATTGCCTACTCTATTTTCCAAGGAAGAACTTTCTCGTGTGACGCAAATGCAACTCCCCAGATGCAGTTCTCAGATGAGGGTATTTGGTTGTGAGAGCTACAGAAATCCTTCCCAGAGAATGGACTTTATTTCCTCTTGTGTGTGCATTTGTGGATTTCTTGGATTTCTTGTCCTTTTATATACTACATGTAGGTCAGTGACAGCAAGCTCACCAAGTAATGCCTGTCAAGAAGTGATGAATGCCTCGTGCTTAGGGGTCCTGAAGTTTTCAAAGGATTTGTCTTTCATTTGCATCCATAGAAGCTTGACCCTCTTGTGGCTTTTTCAAACAAAGAGAAGTTGGTTCTGTTTTAAAAAGAAACATCAGGAGAATTTGTGGAGAAATAAATTAATGCCTTAAGCTACAAGGATGTGAATGGATGGAGGTAGAAATTAATGCAGGCTGTTTTTGCAATCGTAGTGCATTTTCCTTGTTTTGAAATTTTGAATTATGAGGTAATGTACAACTTTTGAAAACAAAAAACAAAACTACCAAATTATTATGAAATACCTTACTTGACAGTAAGTAAATAATAGTCTCAAGCATCCTCTGAAATCATGGCGCCTCGAGTGTTGTCATTTTCAAGAAAAGTGGAATTTTTGTATCAATTTCCAACGATGGTCAGCCGTCCATTGTTGGAAAAACTGACTTTTTCCCCAAACACTGACCCCAATTTAGCAAATTTAGTTAGTCCACATTTTGTTTGTAATCGGTTACACATCCGTGAATGGGTGCAGGCCAGCTAGTCTGGTTGCCAAACCTGACAATTCCCTAACGTCTATAAATTGCTCTGTTCCATCTGAAGTAGGTTCAGGGAACCAGAGTACCAGAACAGCATTTTTTCTTGATTTTTCCAGCATCTATGAACACAAAACTTTAAACAGGTCAGTGCAGCAACATTTGCTATAAAAATACTAACCCCCAAATCCATCCATTTCTGAAAATTACAGCAAAAGTAGATGTTAAATAATACCATTAGATACCCTCTCCAAAAATACTGGCAACGAATCATTTGTTTGTGAATGATCATTTGCAGTTACCCAGAAAAGAGCCTGCCGATTTGGCAGATACCTTGTTCAAAGTGAAGATAGGACTGGTATCAAATACCCTGTGAAATTATTCCACCTGAAAATAGTATCCATCGGAAGAAAACAAAACTAACACACTTTGTTTTACTTGTGTTAGCATCAGAATCCAGTTACAAGGATGGAGCCTGTTTTCTCTGTTTTCTCTAAAATGTAAAGTATCCACTGAGCTGAAACTTCATGGGCTCTACTTAAGATATTTGAGCAATTTATTGCTTCAAACGAGAAAAAAATGCAAATGATGCTGCCTATCTTTTAGTATGTGATCAAGGACAATTTGATAAATGGCTTTACAAACCTGATGAAATGACTATTATTTTGTCAAGGAAAAAGTTTAATGAAGAACATTGGTAGCATTTTTATTCAGCAAAATTCGGGCCACTGTGAACTCAACTAATGTTTTCCTGGGATCTTAAAAATTGTGCTGAAAAGTGTATGTTGTGTTTTGTGGTGTCTACTAAATGATTAACCATAAAAAGTGGAATTTATTTATTTTATTAAATTTATTGAATGACTGTAAGGTCACTTAAACCGAATTAAGTTGATTGGCAGTCAAATCCCTAGTAAACCCCAGCCAACGTGGAGGGCTATTTTAGTGACATGTCCCCCACGTTTCACCAGGAACAGGCAAAACAAACAAACTTGACGAATAGATCATAGGAATCTTCCTTCAAGCTATGTGGTGAAATATTCTGCCAACCGCCAGTGCAAATATCCTGGTCCAAAGTATACATACCTGTACACTCACACCTGTTTGTGTAACTTGCTGTTTTGAGTTTCCTATCAAAACATCACAGGTGTCACAAGTCAGCCACTAGTCCATCAGATGTCATCCAGTCATTAAGTCAAGGGACATGATATTTGAACATTCCTTTGAAATTGTTTAACATCCTATTACATGTGACCTAAAATGTGATTGAAAACAACCCGGTGATTTTAACTATTGAAAATTATGTGTTCTGCAAAATTATTGCAGATGCCCATGTTATTCAATGTTTTGCCATATCACATGACTTTTTATGTTTGACCTAGATTAATTTGGGTTAAAATAGGAAATTGAAACTACACTTTCAAACGCAGTCGAAAACTTTAGTACACAAGAACAAAGAAATGACTCCACAAGGATACAAATTTCAGTAGGGGTGCATGTATGCTTGTGTGTCTGCCCACTCTGCCTGTATTCACGGGTGACTCTCCTGCGAAGCAAGCGGCTGGCCTGCGAAGCAAGCGGCTGGCCTGCGAAGCAAGCGGCTGGCCCGCGAAGCAAGCGGTTGGCCTGCGAAGCAAGCGGCTGGCCCGCGAAGCAAGCGGCTGGCCCGCGAAGCAAGCGGCTGGCCTACAAAGCAAGCGGCTGGCCTGCGAAGCAAGCGGCTGGCCCGCGAAGCAGGCAACAGGCGTCGAAAGCCGCTTCCCACCGAAGTGAGCAAGGCAAGGCCTCGTATAATGGTCTAGGGTACTTGTACTTGGAATGTTTCTATTGTATTCGGAACCTTTTTTGAAAATATGAGTTTCAGAATGGGCACCGTAAGTTTGACCTTCGGATTGTTGTTGTACATTTTGATGAAAATACGAGAACAAATTTGAGCAAAGAGAAAGCTGAATGAGGTGAACAGGCCATGTTTAGGTATAGCATTGTAATTGGCTACAAAAGTCACAAGCTGTGCAGACCTCAACGAAACCAAGCTGTGAAAATGGACCAAATAATGAGGTACCGCTATCGACACCTGCTGTTTTCAGATGCATTTGACCTTCAGACTGTTTTT